TGTTGCGAGAGCTGGCGAAATAGGGCTAATTAACAGCCCTGCGTTAATTATGCCACCTTGCACGGGGGTCGTGATGGTCGCATTGGAGATGCCTTCGCCCAAAACGGTGGTTTTGGAGAATACCGATGCTACCTTTCCACGCCGAAGTTCCCAAGGGCACATCCATACGCCGGCGAAAAATAGCAACTCTGTCTCACAGCGTCTCTCATTTCGCGCTTTTCATGGTAAGGCAGCCAATGGCGGCTATTATTCTGTGCCTGCTCGATCTCGGCCATTGCTGCATCTGGATAGAACGGGACCATGGAAATAGTACACTACGTATGCAGCCCGCTGCCCGCGACCGAAAGTGGATATTGAGATTTCTTGGGCATGTGTGTTTGATGCTACCTTGGCCGACGAAAGCCCGCTACTGCAGAACGAAAGCTTTCTCGTCGCGCCAACAGGAAGGATGACCCCTTCTAGGCGCTTTGGACTAGTGGTTGAGGGTGGGAACAGATGGACAGCAAGACGGGCCTTTCTCATGATTGGGATTTGCCCTGCTGGTGGAGGGGAGTACGTATGGAGAGGCCAGGAGGCCTTCTCGCGACTGGAGTACCTCATCGTTGTGCAGAAGGATTCGGCACATGTTGGCAGAATAGGGAAGGGAGTGCGACCTGGGTGGTGATGGGTGTGCGAGACATTCGGTGGGCGTCTTGCCTTGTGATTTCCTCCCACCCTCTTTTCTTTCTGATGTTTCTCCTCGTTCTGCTCGTTCCCATCTCCCCTTCCCACCCCCGATAATCTCGATGGGCGGCCGCAGGCTGCAGGTGTGTGTGCCGTTACGTCCTGGATGGAGATCGTCGCGTGGCAGCGACATGAGTGGAAGCGGTTGACCTTCAGGGGCTTTTTCTATTTTGATATTCAGCGTAGCAGCCATCTACCTCCTGTGCATGTCATGTTCAGGTCAGTTGGAAGAACCACCACGGTCGCAGGTGAAGCGCGCGCAGGAACAAGAATAGAAACGGCGGCTGCATAAGGTACACGCGGTCATGGATGGTTCTTGGTCATCATCTTATCACCACAACAGCCGACCCAGCCCCGACGCAACTACCGTGACTATTGCCCAAGAGGCAAGAGGGGGGGTGAAAGCGGCACAGAGCCTTGTGGAACAACTGTGTCCTTGCCTGTGCCGCCGACCTCGAGCTGCACTTTGGGCTGGGCTTATGCGTCTCTCAGCCCTCAGCCGCTGCGGTGCAACTGAACCAGTGGCTTTGCTTTCCTGTGCCAGCGCCATGCAGCCAAAGTGCAGCATCTTCGAGGGCCGATCGGTATTCTGGGCAAAATAGACCACTCGGGACCGAGGCGTGGAGCCTCACCGACGGGGCCGACACCCATCTCTCTCTCTCTCTCGGGAAATCAGAGTCTCAAAACGCCCCAATCCAAATGTATGTACCTGAAGAAACAGACACTCGTCAAAAGAGAAAGCGTGTGTGCACTGTTCGTCCATAGTCTGTGCGGAATGCCGGCACTTCAAAGCGGGCTTGGGGAGCCTGCCCTTGCCATTCGCGATCCCGGTCTGGTCTTGTTTCGCTTTTCTTCGACAGGATGTGCGCGGACTTCCGCACAACCTTGAACCTGGAAACCTGCGATGCCTGCTTCACGTTTCGACCCCCCCTGGGAAACTCGTGGAATGCGCACAGAAGGTGGAAATTACTCCATCAGGGCAAAATCCCTCCTGCCTAATCCTGTGCCCCGTCGTGAATTACCAACCACGTGCCCCATATTGATATCCTTACGCTCTTCTTCTTCCCCCACGAATCCCAGATTGATGCTCCCCCTGCTAGGACCGTGGCAAGTGTGATTTGCGATCCTACGGCATTTGAAAAGCCTTGGCCGCTGTTTTCGGTCAATTCGGACAACTCTATTTGCCGTTTTGTCGCACGTTTATGCGTTTATGCCGCGAATCCCTCTGACCGACTTGTTTCAACCTCGACGGGATATTCGCTCTCCGCCTTGGGGGCAAGTGGCAAGGCCCCGGGAATTTGCTTTTGTGGTCGGGAAATTTGGGCGGAATCGGGCAAAGTTGAGCAGGTGTCAGAAGGTTTGGGGTCCTCTTCGGTGATTGCCGCTTTCTGCACAAGACTGCCTGGCACAGCTAGGTAGATAAGCCATGTAGGTCATTTGTATGCACATTTTGGTAGATCAGTCGCAGCCTGTTTTGGAGTAAAATGCACACGCCCTTTCTCAGGGCTAGGAGACGGTGCTACAAAGAATTAAAGAACCTTGGTTTGTCTTGTGTTCACCCCAGAGCGCTACGGAGGAGTCTCCTTGAAACATTGTGGTACCATGGGGGGATGCTGTCTTGATAACCTCAAGTGCTCGGTCCCGAAGCCGTCTTGCAATGTCTTCCTGACTTCATACCTATGTGTGGTAGTTAATCTATTTAGTGGATCGAAACTATCGGCTTGGGGGCCGTTTTCTGACTGACAGGTGTTGGACGAGCGGCTGTCTGCAGTTCTTAGTGTTGAGTAAGCACTCTGATCCAAGTTCCCCCATGATTGACCGTGCAGAGATTGGGGGCGCTCTTGCAGGCCGCATCGTTGAGTCTGTCTGCATCGTGGCTCTCATGCGAGTTGGGTTGCAATTGACAGCTTCCTTATTTAGAAAATGCGTAGTGTCCCCTCGAGGTAGATGCAGGAACATGGGTATCGTTGAGGTATCCCCATCTTGCGACGGTTGCCTAAGATAGGGGGAAAAGGGGCCAACAGTTCTGAAGTCTTTGTGTCGGAGAAGTTCGCTCTAGTCTTTCGGCACCGGCTAGACGGTCATTGAATCATACCCGTGTGATTGGTTCTTGGTACAGGAGAGATTCGATAGTCGGGTTGGATACTGTGATATCAACCTTTGGCATACACCATATGAGAGGTCCATATCCTGCCCCTGCCCATGTGGAAACAACATTGGCTTTATATTCATATTCATCTTTAACTTGTAAACGAGATTGCAATCGCTTTTCGTGATATTTGGAGCAAGTTGAGTGATTGTTTTGTGTAGTCGTGCTCGTTTTAGCTACAGTAGAGTTCGAAGGAGTTGATACTCTGCCAAAATCCTCTTTGATTACCTCACATCTTTCTCCTTTGTGCACCTACCAACCTCTCAGTCTCATGGTGACTTGGGAAGGTTGTTAAAAAACTAGAATCTGACCCTCGCTAAGCTCCCTGGATATTCTCCGCATAGTTTGTCGCGACCCTTGAAGCTCACTCAGCTAGCCTTGACTCAGCTGACGAGATCAACGTTAACCCATCACGGCGCAAGGTAGGCAATTTGCTTTTAATTCGAAGAAGAACAGCGGAGAAAGCTGATCAGTTCCTACGCTCAGGAAATCTACAAAAAGTCGAGGTTCTCCGGGGCAGCTGCGTCGAGCCTGGCACGCCGACATCGAAAATGGTCTATGTACCGCCGACTGAGGCGCAGTATAATGAGATCCTCGCTAGACTCGACGAAATGACCTCCAGGGTTGAGAAGATAGAAACACGACTGGAGACTCGGATACAACAACAAGAGGTTCGCATCCGACGCCTCGAGCGAGGAATAACATGGGCTATTCAACGGATCAAATGGCTGTCGCAGTCGGTAACCGCGCTGGGAGAAATTGTTAGGACCAACTCCGGCACTCTTCTATCCTTTTTGAATCATTCCCATGACTCGCGGTGACCACCGAACTGGAGTTTAGCCTTTTCTTTCATCTGGCTTTGGATACACATTCGCGGATTAGCGACAAAGGGTGGCATCTTTCATGGAAGGGGCGCATTCCAGAGCTACTTAATTTCTCTTTTCACGGCCGACATCAACGTAAGGTCATCTCATTTGGGCGTTTAGGTTCAGTGCAATGGTTCTAGCGACTTTATGCAGACTGATAAGACATGGAATTTGCCAAGTGTGAGGTGCTGACCTTCTGATCAGAGCGAAGACTCATCCTAACAGGCTATTCCATCAATAAACTTATCAATAAACATACGTACGAACTCTATTCATAAGTATACTTGCCCAAATCTGGAAAAACTATGAAATCGTAGAATCCGAAGCAATAAAAGTGAGTACATCGAACAGAATCTTGCATGGGAAAATGAAACCGATCCAAGCTTGGTTGTGATGATATCAGTGTACGCATTTCCGCTGAAAAGCACTTAGAAGGATTAGATTTGGTCGATTTGAAACGCTCAAAGCCAAGGCGTAAAATAAACATACCACGTCGGCTTGTGAAATACACATTTTGATCTTATGAAGAAGTAGGCGTTTGCATCAGTAGAGGCGAAGAGCATCTAGCTCGGATTTTCTTCTGCTTTGATCATCCTTTTCGTAGCCAATCCTGCTACCCTTGTAGCAGGCGCAGGAAGTGGTCGGCTGGGGTTGCCAAGTAATACCCTCAAAACAGCCTCGCGGCCATAGGCTACGGCAAGAGAACGAGGCGAAGAGCCATATTTATCCTTAACTTCAACAACTGCCTTATTATCAAGCAGTAGCTTAACAATAGCCTCATGACCATAGGCTGCCGCAAGAGCAAGAGGCGAAGAGCCGTCGTTATCTTTGACTTCAACATTTGCCTTATTCGCAAGCAGTAGCTTAACAACAGCCTCATGGCCGTTCCTTGTAGAAACCGCAAGAGGTGAATGGCCATATCCATCCTTTGCTTGAACATCTGCCTTATTATCAAGCAGTAGCTTCACAACAGCCTCGTGACCGTTGCTTGCAGCGATCGCAAGGGGCGAACGGCCGTCTATATCCTTTGCTTCAACATCAGCCTTATTATCAATCAATAGCTGAGCAACAGCCTCATGGCCACAGGCTGCAGTAATCATCAGAGGGCGAATAGCCATATTCATCCTTTACTTCAGTATGAGCACCATTATCAAGCAGTAGTTTGACAACACCCTGGTGTGCCTTTTTAGCAGCAAACAAAAGAGGAAGAAGTTCTAATTGGCCCATAAGTTTTGTACCAGGACTATTTTTGAGTAAGATATTCACAGCGGCTTCATGCTCTTGTGCTATAAGAAATGCCTGAGGCGGTATGACCCTGCCATTGGCATGTCTCTCGAGTAGGATCTGGATAAAAGTTTCATATTTCTGACGGATGTCAAACCGCGGAACCGGGCCAATATATCCATTTTGTAGAATATCCAAGACCCTGTCGAGAAGCTCGCTCGAGGTTATAGTAGAGATTCTCGCATAAGCCAAATAGAGCGGTGTCAACCATTCCACATCCTGTTCGCTCACGCCGAACAAGTCTGACTGAAGGATAATATCGACCGTCCTTTGGTTATTGTTTCTCGCCGCTTGTTGCAAAGCCATCCTCACAGTAGGAGCCATTGAATCCGCGTAGAAAAAGGGTTGGTTCAGAAAAAACTTTACCATTACCTCATCATCTTTAGCGGCTGCCGTGATAAACGAATGAACACTCTCCACATCTTTGACGACGAAAGTAGCGAAACCTTCATACCACACGTCTGAACTAGAGTTATCTTCATAATTTACGTCTGAAGTACCAAGGTCTTCATACGAAGGGAGTGCGCTGTCTTCTTGGGTGTGGGGATGAGATAGCGGGGGAGTAATCTTCCCATCATCCCATCTTCCGGTGGCAGTCGTGGAAGCGACGAGAGCCATTTTGTGATGACGTGTCAAGATCTCCTGCCTCTCACTTATGCTCTTAAGACGTCCAACTATGCTCAATGTGTTTTCATCATCGTCTCCGAGTAGTTCTCTTGACAAGTCAAGCGCAGAACTGAGAGCCTCCGATGCCTTTGTCAAATCTCCCACCTTATAGAAGGCTTGCCCTAGACCTATCAAATGAAGAAGCGATACCCCTCTAGTTTTCTGCTCATCACTCATGAAGCAATATTCATAATTCTGCATCTCAAGGCCGATTTCAAAATATCTTCGGCCCTTCTCTGGATCTCCTTCAAAGTTGTAAACCCAAGCAGCATGATGAACAATAGTAGCGTAAAGACATCTCATCATGCTGAAACCCGAGTCTAATGTGATATCAGGTACATAGATATCTATTAGAGCTAGGGTGGATTTGAATGGTGCCAAGTATTTTGGGTCGATAATTGGGCCTTCGGTGAGGGTTCTCTTGGGTGTTCCAGCCAAGGGCAATACCTCAAGTGGCTCGCATACCTTTCCTGCCAAGTTATAGGAGACGAACAAAATGCATTCTTGCTTCCAACGACTCATTCCTGTCTCAAGAAGCCACTGGCAGATGATTCGATGGAGGAAAAGGCTTTTGACCTTACCATCCTCTCCCTTGATACGGACCAAACAGAAGCTTGCGAAGCGGCGAAGGGCAAGTCGAAGGAACCCATGGTCTTGAAGCAAATTGTGCAAGCTCTCCATTTCATCAGACAGAAGACTGTCTCCCTCATTTGTAGGCCTGCGAAAAGAGAAGCTTTCAATGAGAGATATTGGAACCTGCCAGGACCCAAGGATAGCGATCATTGTAAGTAATGAAACGTATTTGATGTCGGTCCCAAGGGACTTGATAACCATATCAATAACTGTTATGATAACTCGATTTTTCTCATACGTCCACATAGCCGTTTCTAGCCTGATGGACATGAGATTTGCATAATTTGTTTTATACGAAGCAAGAAATTGAAAAAACGTGAATTCCCCATTCGATATTAAGCCACCGGCTTGCTCGAGAGCTAGTGGAATGCCACTTAGCTCCTTTGTAATGGCCTTCGCGGCTTTTCTATCTGATAGAAGAATCAGCACCGCCAATAAAACCGCCCTGAAATCATGTCGACTTGCCTTCTTCGCTTGTACCGGTCTGTGTGGAAGTTCTGTATAGGAGGGACAGCGAACTGGCCGTGTCCAGGCCTTCAACCTCAATGGGCTTTCCAGGCCTAAACCCAAAGCAGCTTCGAAATGCTGTGCTGGTAACGATGACAGATCCAAAATCACAAGGGGGAATATAGTCGGCGAGATGGTGATTCGGGTCATCAACGCTATCAAGAACCAAGAGCCATTTCCGCTGTCGCATATGTTGGAGTCTCGGTCGTACATGGGAGATGGCATTAGAAGTACCATTACTATGTAGCGGAAGGTCCGCTGGCCATTGTTTTGCAATCATGGTAGAAGCCTCTTCAAGAGATCGGGTAGCATTCTCTTTATTTGATGCGTCTATCCATATGATAGCAGTGTAGTCTGTTTTATGTTGTTCGATATATTGGAGAACAAGCTGAGTCTTGCCGGAACCTCCAATCCCGCAGATTAGAACAGCCTTGCGGCCTGGTTTAGATGGTTCAAGGCAATCTCTCACCCGCGCAAGCTCTTCACCTCGGCCGTAAAAATAAGGGGATTTCTCAGGGAGGCCGGAGCAGACTGTGACTTGCAACCTTTGCACTCCTTTTGATGTAGGCGTTGAGTGAGAGGGGGTACTCAGAACGACGGAAGCCTGGCTGTTTTCGGCATACCTGATACGACGTGACTGGTCTTGCCGCAGCCAATCGTTGTGTTGATTTGCCGCCAACAGAAATGCACTTCCAGAGCCGCGGCTGAAGAAGTGGCTTACATGCTGCATGAGTACATGTATGGTGAGCTGCCAATGCAACACACCGTTTACAGCTAATGGGGTACTTCTCTCTCCGCAAAATTAGATTGGCTAGCTGGTTGAATTTGTTTTTCCTACTTGGTGACAAAAAGCTATCTTGCATTAAATGGCATTTTTCGTAGCTCTTCAGTGTCATCCTTGCAATATTTGAAGAGCTGCCGTGCCATCTGGGGATCTTTAACATATGGAATGATTGATTCGCCGGTGCGTGGGTGCCGTACGTCGCCATTTACCTTGCCTGTTTCGAGCAGTGTTCTTGCAATGTCTCGGTTGCAACTTAAGACGGCGAGTTGTAACGGGGACGTCCGTGAATTATCCTTACGGTCGGGTTCGATATCGTCTCTCGAGGATAACATATAAACAACGTCATTATGACCCCCAACAACCGCGTAGTACATTGGTGTCTTCCCGTTGATATCTCTTGAATTGATGTTCACTTCGTGCCTCGTAAGCAATAGCTGTAAAATGCCAATGTGTCCCATTTGAGAAGCATACGACAGCGGTGTTCTTCCCATCGAGTCCGCGGGGTCAGGATTGACATTTCCCAAAGACGATAAGAGTTGTACAACCTCAGTATGGCCGTCCTTTGCTGCATGGGATAGTGGAGAGCGTTCGAGGTTGCCTTTCCGGTTGGGGTTTACCTTATTCGTTGCCAGCAAGGAAGAGACTATTGCTGCATGCCCGTTGATAGAAGCATAGAGGAGTGGGGTTTCTCCCCATATATCACCAGATCGCTAGCAGTTACTTCACAATCTTGATATCTCCGCTGATGGCTGCATACGATAGCAGCGTGCGTCCATAATCGCATCGAGTGTCCGGTCTGGCCTTTCCCGTGGCGAGTAGCTGGTTGACTACGGCCAGGTGTCCATTTTCAACAGCCTTCGATAAGGGGGTTCGTCCTTGGGAGTCTTCCTTGTTAATACCTGCCTTTCCTGTCGCAAGTAAGAGCTCGACCACGTTCTCATGGCCATTACTACACGCATGCCATAATGCAGTCCGCCCATAGGTATCTGTATGGTCAATGACAACACTGCGCTGTTGAAGAAGTAGCTGCAGAATATCCCCACGACCGTCTCTAGCCGCAATAGACAGAGGCGCGAGGGAGTTCCTATTCCGTGATCCACCGTCAGGACCTGCCAGAGCCAAAATGTGTCGAAATAAATTCATATTGCCTATGCTTGCAGCCCAATGGAGCGGCGTGTTAAAGCTATTGTGATATCCTCGTGAGATGAACTCCCTGTCAAGTCTGACAATTTCCTCGAAGGGAACTTTTGCTTCTTCGTCAAGACATGCCTTAACGACACCGATGTTGCCCTCTTTAAACGCAATAAATAAAGGATATGTCCTACGATCTGAAGAGAGGCAGAATACGGAGTGTCCAGAGTTCCATGCCAAAACGAGTTTGGCAAGTTTTGGGCAGCCCAGCCGTGCGAAAATGCTCATGAGGTTCGTGGAAGGGCTCAAGCGGCGATGCACCGCCGTTGGAAATAGGTTAAACTGAGCAGCCCAAGACCGGATGTTGAATTCTCTCAAAAAAGTTGTTTGAGGAACCAAGGTTGCGGCATGTTCCGAATGATGAAAAACATACTCAGAGGCGTATTCGAGAAAAGGGAACTTATCTAAAACCTGTTGACGGAGTCTTTTCATTTTGATTGAGGATGCAGATGGCAAATCCCCTGGGATGAATTTGTCATGGGCTAGATATGCGTAACAACATTGCCGTAAACGCTCGTGGCTGTGGATCTCGAAGTTATCGGCCAGGTGTGGCCATAGCGATTGAATCCCATTATCCTTGATCAGGAAGTCTCGGACAGATTCGTGAATGAAATTTACCGTCTGGGTATTTCGATATGTTGTGACTTCAGCAAGTCCTTTAGATGAACTCAGAACGTAGCGCTTCATGACTTCGGGCGTGATAATCTCGCTGTCCCACTCATCCACAGCCGTACCAGCTGGGAGAAGACATGTGGCGAGCGCGAAGTAGTATTCCACACATGTTAGAGGTCGCTTCGCGAATGCAATCCATTGGACGCACAGGAGCAGGTCCTCCATGTTTTCTCCATCTCTGCAAAGAATGTCCTTGAATAAGTCGCCGAGCCTGGGTGGTAATTCCTGGAGGCGCCTCTTCACTTGCAACAGTTGGCCGTTACGAAAGACGCCATTGAGGATGTCAACAGCAAGGACTACCCACATAAAGATACCCGCAGACTTTCGTAGGATCTCTCCGTATACCCATGTTGCTAATTTGCTGTTGCCAGCCCGTAGTTTGCCGCGGACGTACTTGGCCAGGTCCTCGCTATGTTCGGGTTGTTCATCCAGCGTGAACCGGATGCGGTTTTGGATGTCTACATGAGGGTAGGGTCGGCTAGAAAAGCATATATGTATCTTCGTACTATTTCGAAATGCATTGCTGCCAAGCTCCTCAAAATATTCAACCATATCGCGAATTTGTTCGGCGTCGCATTCATCAAGTGCATCAATAAAGAGAGTCAAGCTCCGCGTGTCAAGCTCACCCACAACCTCGGAAATGATTATCTGAAGTGTCTCAACGGTCCACTCAAAGACGCCGCTGCACCTTTGAAACTTTGAGGTGAACTTATCGAGAACATGCGCAAGTTCTGGAAAATGTTGGAATGTCTGGAATAGTAGGGATCGATACATGCCAAGAGTTGATTTTTCCAGAACTTCACCTCTCGCGTTGAAGAAGAAGGCGACATTTGCACTACCGGCAAGATTTCTGGAGGACTCTGTGGCATGATTGTATGCAAACTTCATCAAGGTTGATTTGCCAGCGCCAGGCTTGCCAATAATCCATAGAAAACCGTGATGTTGCGATAGCTGGTTTGGGTCCAACCAAGAATGGTAGTTTGAGTTGTAGTGAAGCCATTGACAGGTCTTTTCGTATGCAGATTTTATATTTGTGTGTCTTGACTCGATCTGATGAAAATCCAATGATTTGAGTAGAGCATTGCGACATTCGTATAAAGACATAAACACTGAAGGTTATATTAGTATGTGTATGGCTTTCGTTCGTGGAATACACAAACCATCATTGGTAAAATAATCTCCGTTAGGAGATTTGCAAATCCGGTTTCCAGGAACCTCCAATAAAAGTTCCTTGGCATATGCAGCGGCTGCTGCAGCTGAGTAGCGTTGCCAATTTTTGGATTTGTGCGAATCGGCATAGTCACAAATGCCACGGATGGCAAGGCAAGGAAACCCATCCATCAGCCCTGCCGCTTCCATCTCGACGCAAATGATGCCGAGTTCCTCGGCTAGCTTGTCTCTTGTCTTGCTGTCTTTCACGACCGTATTTGACGATCCAACTTTCCCGTAATGGATGAGCGGAGCCGCATTATCCCTTAGATCTCGGGTTCTTGCTTTAGAAGGGTCACAATGATCACAGCCACCCTGAGAGCCGTGTATATACGTGCTATAGAACAAATAGTCGGGGTCGCTAGGTCGAGCGTAAGTACACATTGCGGGGTGACGCTGAATCATGTCTGAAAGAAGGAAGGGAACCCGAGACGCTCTCGCCTCATGGGTAGCCTTAAGATTCGATGCAGCTGTGAGCAGTAGCTGAGGAGGCCGAGTAGGGGTGGCTGTTATCTTAAAATTGTTAGGGGACACTTGCTTGCCGAAGTCAAACTGAATCACGTCAGTACCGACAACAATATCCCCGAGCCGGACATCTCTAGACGTAGTAGGAAGCCCTCCCCCGATGCCGACCATCAATCTCTTATCAATCGACGGGTAACTTCGACGCATATTAGCAGCAACTATTGCGGCATTGTTTGTCCCGTAATGGTTCAAAGGCAGACAGGCCAGTACGATATTGTGAAGGCCAATGTTGCCCAGAGTATAGGTATTGCTGTCGCCCGGTAAGGGACACAGAGGCTTGTGAACTCTGTCGAGCATAGATTTGGCGGCCGCAAGCTCTATGGGAAGAGCGCAGATCCAGCCGACAGTATAATCTTCGTGCCGGAAACCATCGTCGAGGCTAGATGAACTCCATCGCGGTCGTTTTGCCAGGAGCGATGATGGCTCTTCTATTTCAAGAGATCTTTTGCTGCCATGGCCGCTCGCCATTTGGTCCTTAGAGTTATTCCGCGCAAACCTCAGGAGCTCAAGATGTTGAGGAAGCAGGGGAGTCGATTGCCTGCGATGAAATCAGCCTCACGAGGCTGTTGGCCGCCTGAACGCACAGCCACTAAATACAGCCCATTACATCACCCTCCTTCTTGGTATAGAAACCAGAATTTTGTTAATTTAGAGCATTGGGCGATTTTCAAAAAGAAGATATTTAATCTACTTTCCCAAATACTGCCCGTTATCTGGACGACGGAGGTGAGTTAGCTCTCTGCCCAGCTAATCCGTTAGTCCCTGAACAGTCCGTGCCGCATGCATCTGCCTCTCTATATAGAGCAGGGCGCTCCTCTGTGTGTTGACACCCATTCAGTGGGCTCTTTCTTGGCAGGGTCACATTGCGATGACTGCATCAACTGAACTCAACCAACCTGGACCTCTTGGCGGAAGTGCCGTTAGGCGGGAGATGATACCGTGATATCAGCCCAAGACACGACACACGTCAAGCACGATGACGGGCGACCGTGGGGAATATGGACACAACAACTCCATGAGTGCGACTCTAGAGACGTATCTAATGCTCTCTTCGTCGGTGGAGCGATGCAAGGAGAACAGTGAGGTGCTACGTTGACTGCCCGCTGGGGCTCAATCACGTCATACAGAGTACGACCTCGTAGGATTGGGCAGATTTCAATGGCCGTGGTGTCAGATAGATTGTCCTGACAACGCTTCGAGAGTGCTGGTTGGCGTGGGCTGGTGTAGGATTGAAGCTGACGAACGAAAGTCCTGCTACGTTCGCCGGGCCAAGACCCAGCGCTGGAGGGAGAAACAGGAAGGTCGCTTGACTATCAATGCTGCTGCAAATCAATTGAACAAATGCAGTGTGAATTTCGTATCATTCAGGTTGTCCTGGGATGAACACAAGAGCCGCACAAAATGAGTGAGGGTGATCCTCACTTTACCTCCTGTTGTAATTACAGTAATCATGACCGTCATTAGGGTTGAAACTGGCTACGATATTCACGGTTAAAAATAGCTGGCGGCTGCAGAGCATTAAAAGAGCCGGAACTTAGCAGCTTGGCAGAGCCAGTGGCTTGGTTTCGGGGCGTTTACAGGCCTATCATGTTTCGCCTAGTGCCGAAAGTCAAGCCTGTGCCTGAAGGTCGAGCCGTGCCTGGAACCAAAAAAAAAAAAATAGGATCCCCATCCTCCTGAATTCCTTCATCGTCATCGCCCTCTTGTCTGTCTTGGATCGACGCAAGGAGGGAACGAAGTAGTACCTATGATTCTTACCACCAGCTTCCGCCATCTCATTGCGTCAAGCCGGCCCGCAGCAGCTGGACAGAAGTACCACCGCCAATGGCACCAGCACGATGGACATCAAGACTGCGTAGACGGAGCCCGAGTGGGGGACCTCCCGTCGAATCGAGCAACCACCTGGGACCCCGTGCTCATTTCACGCATCGCATCACGACGACGCATTGGTTGATCGGATCTCTGCCTTCTCCATCAGGAAGTCCCCCAGCGCGACCAGGAAGGGATGCTCCCGACCTCACAACGGCATGGATCATGTTCCCTTGAGGTCCCGCTCTCCACTGCCAGTGACAGACCCCATGTTGCATCATGTTATTTCCATACCGTCCAGATGTAGACAGGAAGAATACTTAATGTGACGATGCTGCTCGCTGCTCCCCGGCTGTCTTTTTTGTTCTGTTCTGGATATCCCACGAGGTCATCTGCCCTCCCCTGTCCACCACTAGACTGAATCGCGAATCCCCAAAAAGCCCATGTGCTTGCGCTAGGAGCCATGCGTTTCTCTTCCTTACTCACCACAGCCATGGGCGCGCTGATATCAACCGTCCGGGCAGCTCCCGCCAACAACCTGCAGCGCGCAGACGGCTCTCTTTCTTTGGTCGACGGCGAGACCAAGTTTACTTTTGATTATGCCACGTCCGCGGCAGACAGCAAGAACTGGATCGGCATTTACCATGCCTCGGGCGGGGGGCCTGAGGACGAGGTCATGGTCAGCCCCTCTCTGAAATGGGGTTATGCGCCAGAATCCAAGGGCCGCGTCACCGTCGACGCCTCTGGTCTTGATGCTGGCAAGTACAAGGCCTTCTTCCTCGAAAAGGACGGCTACAAGTGGCTCGCCAATCCTATTGAGATAACCATTGCCGGAACCAGCAAGGCCAGCTTCCTCACTGACACGTACACCACCCACAACGCCCGCGAGGGCGACAAGTTCGAGGCCAAGCTCGGGGGTCTGCTGTCTCCAGAGAGTGTTGACAGCAAGTTCGCCAAAGCTTCCGGTCCCGGTTGGGTCAAGGTCTCTGACACTGGTGTCGTCTCTGGCGAACCCGACAGCGACAAAGCAGCCGAGGTCACTATCGAGGCTTCTGGGAGCGATGGTTCCAAAGCGAAGCTCCAGATCACCATCCCCGTCCGAAAGGCTGGAACCCCTCTTGTGGAGGAGCTCAGCGTGCTCAGCTACAACCTGTGGCACGGCGGCACCCAGGTGAATGACTACCACCGCAAGCAGATCCGGTACTTTGCCAGCACCAATCCCGACATCATTACCTTGCAGGAGGTCAGTGGTGGACATGCCGTCCGATTAGCTGAGGCACTGGGCTGGAACGTCTACCAGAGCGATGCCGCTGGAATCATCACCCGCTACCCAATCGCCGAGGTCTACGATGACTTTTCCCGCTCCAGCTCCGTCCGGGTCCTCCTCGATGGGGAGAAGAGCCAGGTTATTGTTCGAACCGCCCACCTGGGCTTCGATCCCTATGGCCCTTACGACTTCTGCTTTGACCACATGACCGTCGACCAGGTCCTGAAGCGCGAGGCGCAGTCTGGTCGCACTCCCCAGATTCTGGACATCGTGTCCAAGATCAAGAGCCAGCTCGCCAACTCCGACAAGGTCCCCGTCATCCTGAGCGGCGACTTCAACGCGCCATCCCACCTTGACTACACCGAGGCTGCCTCTGGTCTGCACTGCGGCGTCAAGGACGTTCCTTGGCCCACCTCGGTTGAGCCCACCAACGCCGGTCTCGTCGATTCGTACCGAGAGATCCACAAGGATCCCGCCGCCGACCCGGCCATCACCTGGTCCCCCATCTTCCTCGACAACAACGGCCGTCCCGAGCCCCTGGACCGCATCGACTTCATCTACCACAAGGGTCTCAAGACGCTCAAGTCCTTCATCGAGGTGGTCGGCAAACCGAAGCCCCAGCCCAACCACGCCAACAACGAGTGGACTTCTGACCACAAGAGCGTCAAGACCATCTTTCGGGTCCCCTCAGGCTCGCGTGGGGATGAGATCTAAATACACGATAAACGATAATTTATTTGAGAGTCGAGAAGCGGGGGTGCATATGCTCAGTAATCTGAGCTACAGTTTTGTTATTAGTTTATGCATAGTAGCAGTTATGATTTGAAATGAAACCTTTTGCATTTTAAATTTCACCTTTCCTCAAAACAATTAACTATGCCTCTTGGTCGTCTGACAAATCTCGGGGCCCAATCAGTGGTGAATGAGTTCTAGCTCTAATTATTGATCAAACTCTCCAATCATCAAGTAGTTGCAGGTGCCGAGGCCGATGATGTATATTGTAGAAGATGACTAAGAGCTCTCTATGGTGGGGTGAAGCCACCACCAACCGAATTTTTGATGGCGGGGCAATTTGATATTGTCGAAAAAGTATCCGCGGGCCAACGAGACGATAAAACGAGAGGGACACAAAGAAAACTTGGGCAAAAATAAACCCCGGCGATCAGAGGTGATATTCGAGACATCACTATGGGTAAATCGTCCAAAGACAAGCGGGACGCCTACTACAGGCTCGCAAAGGAGCAAGGATGGAGAGCCAGAAGCGCGTTCAAGCTTCTCCAGCTAGACGAAGGCAGGCTATAATCCCATCCTAATAGCCACCCATAGGCCAATGGGTTTGAGGGATCTAACTCGTCAATTGACATGAGCTAACCTGTCGATATAGAGTTCGATCTCTTCGCCAATGTCTCCCGCGTCGTCGATCTCTGCGCCGCCCCGGGGAGCTGGTCCCAGGTCCTCTCCCGAGTTCTCATTGAGGGCGAGAAGTTTGGCCGTGCGGCGTGGCAGGACAGGGAGGCCCGCATCCGCCAGCAGCTCCTCGGCGTGCTCTCGGAGGAAGGGTTGAGCGAGGAGCAGAAGAAGGAGGTGGAGAGAGACCTGGCCAAGCAGCACGCCGAGTCGAAGCCCCGCGAGGACGTCAAGATTGTCTCGATCGATCTGCAGCCCATCTCGCCTCTTGCGGGTATCACGACCCTCCGCGCCGATATCACACACCCCGCCACCGTTCCGCTTCTGCTGTCGGCCCTTGACCCCTCCTACGACGCAACGAAGGCTGCCAATTCCAACCAGAGCTCCAGCCCGGTTGACCTGGTCATTTGCGACGGTGCGCCAGACGTTACCGGCCTTCACGACCTCGATATATACGTCCAGGCTCAGTTGTTGTTTGCTGCTCTGAACCTAGCCTTGTGTGTGCTCAAACCTGGCGGTAAATTTGTCGCCAAGATCTTCCGTGCTAGAAATGTCGACATTCTCTACGCACAGCTCAAGATCTTCTTCGAGAAGGTGGTCGTCGCAAAGCCAAGGAGCAGTCGGGCCAGCAGCATCGAAGCATTCATCGTGTGCATCAACTTCAGACCTCCCCCGGGCTTCAGCGCAAGCCTCGAGGAGCCTCTGGGGGTGGGCGATCGCCTGGACAAGCTGCTTCTGGAGAGGCAGAGGCAGAAGCCCATCGTGGCCAAGACCCTTCTGCAAGATCCCGCCAGAGGAACGTGGGATTCGCTGCCGGTGGAGCCCTACGATGCGGGCGGCGAGGAGATCACAGAGGTGGAGGCCTTTGATGAAACCGGGGAAGATCTGGAAGCGACCGGAAAGCACACTCGCTGGATCGCCCCGTTCACTGCTTGTGGCGATCTGTCGGCCTTTGATTCGGATGCATCCTACCGACTTCCGGAGGACTATGTGTCTCTGCCACCCGTTCAGCCACCCATTGCTCCTCCTTACAAGCGCGCAATTCAGCTGAGAAATATCATGTCTGGAGGTGCCCAAAAATGAGTGTGTTGCCTTCCTTTGAACATTTTTAAACCCTTTCTCCTTCTCGGCGAGACATACACCTTTTAAACACATCTATTACGGAACTTTGCTCCAGTGGCGGCAATATCGCTTCGAGAAAACATCAGGCTGCGACATGTCTCATCTGACTTGGAGAGCTACAGCCTTTGGTTAATGATGTTCTCACATCTTAACTCCCCAAAGGCAACGCCAACAAGCACGAAATATCCGCTCCCTATTCCGCAGGTGAACGCGATATACACGGGCAAATCATCATCCATGGTAGATTGTGTACCTCCGCGTATCGCCATCACTCCCGCCTTCTTGCCTCGAGGATTAAATGTGAGATTGCGACTCACACGTCAGCTCAGAGGAGCTCGTTGGCCATTTTCAAACCAATCACATAGAGTATCATACAAGCGAGCCGCGGGCATACAAAGAGCCACAAATGGAAGAGCTCCTTGTTGACATCTTCAAGGCAAGACTAGCGGCATGGATCTCACCCGGAAATCCAGTTTCGGATCCCCTCAAACCCCCCTACTTGGTTGAGGATTGAGAAACCGACTCTGGTGGGCCTGGCAGCCCTTTCATAGAGAGTCATCCGGCTAAATCTAGGTCGGTTCAAGAAATCAGTGATCTTAGTGATACTAAGAGAGTGGAAGGCGCCGGTTGGCTAGATTCATAGTAGTTTGCAAGCCTCAATTGAACACGAGAGATTGCTCTCTTGTCCAACGTTTACCATGATTGTCCACACGGTGCCTATGTCCCAAGGAGTTGCCCAAGAAACAGCGCTGTCCGTGTTTCCTCTTCAAGAATTATCACCATCTTTCTTCAGGCCCATGTCTCGTGTGGAAAATAGTTGGCTGACTGATTACGTGCTCATCACACGCAGCCATATTGCCCAATCGAATAAGATCTGCTTGCGGTAGGATAAGTCAAGTTTCAAAACGCCGGCCGTTCCCTTTCTTCTCTTTGTCTTTCTCTAAAAAGAAATCCAATAGACCATCGAGGTTAGCCTCTCCTCTCTATTTTGGAAAATCCAGCTTTCCTTTCTCCTGGTCCACCTCACACCCCAAGCTCGATACCCAATATCAGATTGGAATCCAAAAAAGCAATTCAATGATCCTTCGGCACACCCTTCTCCGCCCTCCCCGGCATCTCAAGCATGATCAGCCCCGCCGAGGGCCCCTTGTCGAACTCGAGCGCCCCCAGGTCCCGCTCGTACATGCGCGCCGAGGCCCTGTCGTTGGCCATGAGCGTCAGGCCCCGGAGGTCGGGCCACTCCATGACCACCTCCTTGACGGACCGGATCATCCACGAGGCGAGCCCGCGACGCTGGTAGTCGCGCAGCACGAAGACGTCCGTGAGGTAGGCGAAGGAGACGTAGTCGGTGACGAGGCGGGCGAAGCCGACCAGCTTGAAGTCGGGGCCTTCTCTTCGTAGGGGGACGCCGGATTCTGTAATTGTTACCCGTTTGTTTAGTAAGTAATTACTATAGATGTGGTACGCTGGAAGACACAGTTTTGGATAAAGGGCAATTCCAATCAAAGAGGTATTCCAGTCGAAACAGGGATAAACGCACTTCTCATCTGCTCCTCGGTCTCGGGGACCCAGTACAGACACAGCGTCAGACAATTGTCGAGCATCTTCTTCATCTGTCCCGGCTCGAGGGGGTCATTCCACCACATGAGATCCGACCGGAAGATGTCGTTGACGACGTGGGGCTCCAGGTACCGCTTGTCGGTTGTGAGGAAGAAGTTGTCGCGGTACCAGGAGCGAGGCTTGCCCTCCGGCTGGGGTTTGCTCACGCGGAGGCCCATTGTCCGGTACGTAAGGAACCTTCTCGTGTCCTTTCGATAGGAGATTGATGTAGAGATCACCCCATGAGGGTAGATAGGCTATAGAATATCCACGTTCTTGTTCTCAAGAAGTGTAAATTGGGATGTCTTGTTACTAGGAAAGAATTACAGAAGAACAAAGAGTTCAAGTCCAAGCCGGCTTCCTCATGAAATAGGATAAGCTTTGTGCACCGTTCCCCATCCCAGCACCAGTTTTCTCATTTTAACTTCCCTCCTCGGGCCCCATGTATTCTGGCTCTTTTGTACGTGCACCGCTTGCTGGCATTACCGCTTGCTGTATTGATCATGTTACGTAGTTGGTTACGGCTAGCTGCGGCTCCAGATGGGCGTGTGATCGGCACGGGGAGTCCCAGAAGGCGGATTTGGGGTAATACGGGGCTACTCAAACTTGGTCAGCTGGACCCCCAATCGCCTGCCGACCAACCAGGAAATCTCGGATCTAGCTCTAGGGAGATCAAGATTGTGTAAGGGAGAGCTAAAGATGCGTGAGACCCGTGATTGGATGTGTATGCGGGAAGAGATTGGGGGGAATCGGATCTCAAGGGAAGGAACATCAGACCCCGCGTGAGTGCGATTTCGCATTCCTCGCGGATGAGCCAAGCCAAGCCAAGCCTATGATCTATGCCAGGGGGGTGGTTTGTTGATTACTCCGAGCCAAGCTGGCCGACAGTCCGATACTGCGAAAGAGGAGATTTACACGGCGAAATAGAGAAAGCGTCAATGACTCGCGGCGTCAACAGTGCATTTCCATTACTAACACTCATATGACCTTCCCTCCCAGCCTATACGATCATTACCTGAAAGTCGTGAGTGGCTGCGTGCAATGAGATCACAGGGCTGGTGACGTTTATAGGTTAATCCCCCTCCCGGGCCGAACAGGGAAACTTTGACGGCACTTTACTACGTACGCAAGGGAGATGGACGCCACAGGACAAATTCTCAGTTCCATAATATTATATCAATTGGTTTGGTACAGATCTGATTACTACTAATCTACAGCATGGCAAGGCAGGCGGCGGCACCAGCAAGCAGGCACGAGCCCATGATGGCAGCAGTGGGAGCGGCAGCGGCGCCAGGGACCGACGAAGAAGCGGCGGCAGAGGAAGAGCCAGTGGCCGAGGAACCGGTCGAGGAGCCAGAGGCACTCTCGTCGCTGGACGCTGACTCAGAGTCAGAGGAAGCCGGGGTGGTGACGGAGGCAAAGCCAGAGGCAGAAGTCAACGTGGGGAGAGTAGCCACAGAGGTCGTCTGGCGGGAGCTACCACTGCTCGACGCCGCCTCGGCGCTGCTTGAAGCCGCCGTGGTGGTAGCCTCCGAGGAAGAGGCCGAGGTGGTAGTGGCCGACACGATGAGCGTCGTAGAGGCCGCCTGGGGCGCCTTGCCGAGCGTGGCCGGGTTGATGAACCTGGGCGAGTAGGTCTCGGTGCCCTTGTAGGCACCGCAGCCGGGCACGGTGGTCTTGGGGGGAGCGCGGCCGCCGCCGCAGTCGAGGATCTCGCAGACCTCGCCCGTGTCGGGGACGTACCAGATGCGCGTTGCGTAGGGCGAGCCGTGGGAGGGCGTGTAGACGCTGTCGAACGAGGTGCAGCCGCCGATGTCAGTCTTAGCGACGGCGCTGGAGGCCAGGAGAGCGGCCGCGGCGATGATGCGGAAGGCCATTATTAGTATTAGAAGAGATATCTCTCAATTTTCTAGTGCAAAACGAGTGGTGGGACTGTCGATAGTCGAACAAGTTAAACGAATGACTGGGTGAGACCTGCGAAAGAGGGCAGCAGGAGAGGAATAAGAAGGGAAATCTCAGATTCACGGTCTGTCCATTCTTTGCCTCCGTTAATATTACCATTCCCTATGTGGGCAGGTAATTGTCTTGGCGCTGTTCCTGGGAGTAAGCGCTTGGCACACATTGGGCCTGTCGCCTGGAAATAACTGGTGATGGACTCGTCCCCGTAATGATCTCATGTTAGAATGCCGGTTTAACCGACTCTTCACCGAGCTCAGGGCTTGATACAGCTGCAGGATGAGCCAGCACGAGTATCTAACCATTGGGGTTCTTTCAATTGGAGATAGATTAGAGACAATGAACTTCAGACACTCATAGCGACAGCCGCGCGGGTTGTCCTCTATGTCACATGAAAGTCGGCAACACCGTACGGGATCCTCGCCTGGTCTGGTCTCTGTTTCAGGACGAGATTCATACTCTCGGTGAATCACGAACGAGGTCTCGACTCACAGGGCAAGGTTTCAGGAACCAGCTATACAGGCAATCCATGAACTAGGTTGAACCTTAGGCACAAAGAATCAAGAGTATTGTTAAGCACAGAACAAGTAGTATTTGTTGGCACGGCTTCACGGTCAAAAGATTGTGACAAGAGTGTATTGGAATCTTTGAACTAATAACAGCGTTTATAGAATATAATAAACAGGGCCTCTTCAGGGCGCAGAACTTTAAAATCAAAACACACACGGATTCCCAGGTACAACAAGGCATTATAAGAAATATAGAAAAACACAATTCAACTTTTCGTTTACTGAGGACCGGACTGGGAGAGAGCAATCTTCTTCCAGTGGTCACGCTCAGCCTCCAGCTTAGCAATGCGCTCCTCGAGCTCGTCGAATCGTAGAGCCTTTCGCTCACGCGACTTTCGAGCAGCAAGGGTGTTTCGAGCGCGCTTCATTGCAATAGTATCGTTAGGGTCCTCAACGATGATAGGAGGAAGGGGCTTGTCTCGCTTGCGAGGCGCAACACCGGCAACTGAAGAGTGGCGGGCCCCCGAGGTGGGGGAACCGCCAGACTTCCTACGGTTGCTGGCAGGACGCTCTGGTTCCAAATCCTCGGATCGGAGAGCAGGGGAGTTGTCCACAGGCTTCTCCGAACCAGAGTCAGTGGGGAACAAAGAGTACCAGGAGTCGATGGGAGGACCGTCAAAGTCGGCAGAACCAAAGTTTGGCGACACATCAAAAGCATCAAAGTCGGGAGACTCGTTTATCGATGGAGATGTCAGCGACGTGAGGGCAGCCGAGTTTGGTGCAGACATGTAAGGCTCATTGACGAGGAGATCATGAGGCGAGACGGTCCCAAGATTCGAGGTGGAGCTATGAGCGCTGCCACCAAAATCAAAGGCGGTAGGAATCGCTGGCGACGAGAAAGCGGTATTAACCCCACCCTCGAAAGGGATGAAGTCATCCAAATCGACGTCTGGAGGAATTGGTGAGCAATGTGGACGAGACACGGAGGATGAGGCACTATGAAACAAACCTGCTGCGTTCATCATCTTGGCGGTTTGAACTTGACCGGTGCTCTGATTAAACAATGGCACGGGAGGTCTCCTTAACCGAGAATGCTGATTCAGAGAGACTGTAGATGACGGAGCTGAAGACGCGTAGAACTGATTGCTGAAACGTTTGTTGGAATTGACAGAAGACGGTAACTGATGATGACCAATAGCCTGGATGATCTGGGTCACTCGCTGGTTCTGGACAGCAGAGGCAGACGGTTGTTGCGACTGTGTTGTCAGATTGGCAGGGATGTGGGCAGAGTGACGTCGATGGCTAGACAGTGATTGAGGCCTATTAAGGGCTGGACTGGCAGGCGAATTGTCGAACAAGACAAAGTCCTGAGGCAGATTGTCGTTCTGATGATTGTGCTCGGATTTGGCCGGCAAGCTGGGAGTTGAGTTGGGAAGCCATGTTGACTGGGAATCCGTGGTGAAGACTGGGAAGTCTGAGCCTGAAATGGTGGCGGTATTGAGGGAACTCGAGCGGGTGCTTGATGCAGTGCTGAAGTTCAAATCAACCAAATGGTGATTTGAGTTGAGGGGGGGAGTGGAGATTGTGGGAATGTTTTTCTTTGAAGACTGAATGGTGGCGGCTGAGGCACGATGATTACTCCATCTTGAATGAGGCTCTGAGGCTGCTGAGATGTTCTATTGTGTGTGTATGAAACTTGGGGTTGAAGGAGAAGAGAGAGAAAAAAAAAAAAAGGAGTGGGGAGTGGTGGTGCCTAGAGGGTTATGTAGATTTCTGAGGCAGAAACGCATCAGGCTGCGGAAGAGGTGCCCGCTAACAGAACTGACACCATTGGTTGCAGAAAAGCTGTTAAGCCGCGAGTTCCTGAGGTACGTACTGGTACGTACCAGGCGAGCCCCGTCTCGCAGGGCGCAAGTGATGTCTTGGGTATGAGTCACACTTGGAAAGCGGGGCGCCATCTATCCATTTTGGGACTCGCCGTGCGATGAGCGCCGCCCATTGGCCACCGCAGGGAGCAAAGCCCCCCAAGCAATTTGCGGAGCAGCCAGGGGGCCGCTATTTGGAAAGCCTGGGGGGACGCCTGGCCAGCATCAGTGCAGGTGCGTCCGGTGCTGACACCCGTGGGATTGGACGGACCCAAACCGAAGGGAACGAGCAGCCAGGCAGAGCAGGCATCGCGGGCAGGCTGCATCACCAAGGGAGCGAAAACGGAGAGCCTGGCCCCGCGGACTTCGAATATGTGATACCTCGCGCCAACCACGCCCTTCCGAATTATCGTGCGCTCTCATGCAGTGTGCCCCTTGGACTAGACTCAAATGCACACAAACGGACCGTCTCTCCAAAAGCCCTAATCGAGCTCGGCGAAAGTGGCCGCTACTTCGCCTAGAGCATGAAGCCAGAGCCACTAGAACTGAGGCTTGGCTGGGGGCCGACAGCCGCAATGGAGGGGGGCTAAGCTTTAGTGCAAGCAGCCAGAATCCCACCCAAAATGTCCATCCTACGCTGACATATACGTTTGAGATTATGAAATGCGCTCAGCGCTAGACCTCCTGAGCTGCTCTGCGGGTACAATTCCCGCCAGCCTGCCCTGCAATTGGGTCGAGAGGTGGCTTCGCTTTAACGAGCCGACCAATCACGATGATGTCGGCTAACGCACGATGCCCACCACTCGCCAACGGCCGTCGTCGTCGATTTACGAATATAACCGCGTCTCGCAATACGTGACGAGGCATCCACTGTGTAGGGTAGGCGTCCTAGCCAAGTCCTAGAAGGCGATTCGTATCACCTGTTGTGGACTTCTCGGGTCCTCCTTGGTGCTCCAAGAATATTGTGCAACCTCGTAATCATGCTGAGAAACGGCTACCTTGTGTTGCGAATCAGATTAGCCTACATGCCAGTAGCCCTTCGTATTCGCCTCTGCTGCAGGCACATATCAGCCAGTAGCCTCCATCTACAATTGCTTGGCCCCTTAGCAGGTGGGCCAGATTTATGTTGGCAGCTTCCACGTCCTTACCCATTCAAGCTACTTATGCGGACACCATGGCTGTTTGAATTTGTACAACAAGCAATGCGCATCTCGTGGCCCATCGTTTTCGGTAAACGTATAGCAATTTCTCAAACCTGCTTGTTGGCACGCACTCAAGTTTGTTGGACCTTTCGAAGATCCTGGGCGCCATCAGGGAGTTTATTTTAGTCCCACAGGCATAGGCTTCTGGTTTTACGCCACTCTGTTTCCAAGTTTATCGATCTTGCAAACAACCCCAATTGCGGGCCATTAAGTACTGAACTTGATAGCATTCATGTGGCGTGGCAATTCTTCCAGAGTGTTAGGCACATAGCCTACTCCAGGATGCATGTATGCAATGCTTCTATCTAGTGGTTTAGGTAGTCTGTCTAAATGGCCTCTAAGATCGCGTCTGCGGAAATGATTAAACTGCTGGTGCTAGTATGGAACCTACCCTGAAGCAACGACAACGTTGAAGAACGACACCAAACTCTAGGTATTAGGTGTCATAAGATTCCTTTAAGAGTCAACGCGCGACATTGGATGTTTCTATTATAAACCTGCTCCAATGAAAAGATTGTAAGCGAAGCCTGATTGTTGAGTTGAGACAAAAAAAGAAAAAAAGTGCAACTACCATCAAATGTCAGACAAGGCAAAATGCTAGCCAGTACAGTTGTGGCTTGGCTCAGCTGCCCGACTATAATTTAATATAAGGCAGACTGATCTTGCCCACGCCCAATCCTACATTGGGTAGCAATCAGACTTCATGAGTCGCGGTACCATTTATCACCTCTGATAGCCTTTCTAGGGTTCTGCGAAACCAAAGATTTGTCGATTAAAGATCGGGCGTCGGACATTTCCGACCTGAAGTATCAAGGTCTATACAACCCGCGAAGAAATGTCTAACCGAGAGGACTACACAGTGGGGTGGATCTGTGCTATTGTCAAAGAATATGTCGCGGCACAAGTCTTTCTCGATGAGAGATATTCCGGCCCCGACTCTGTGGCTTGCAATGACACTAATACCTACACACTGGGAAGAATGGGGAGGCATAAGGTTGTGATAGCTGTGCTTCCCGACGGAGAGTATGGCATATCTGCTGCAACAGGGGTCGCGAAGGATATGCTGCACAGCTTTCCTAACGTCAGAATCGGCCTTATGGTTGGAATCGGCGGTGGAGCACCCAGCCGAAAGCATGATATCCGGCTGGGCGACATTGTCGTCAGTGCTTCTCATGGCAGTAGCGGCGGTGTATTCCAGTACGACTTCGGCAAGACGATTCAAGACCAGAAATTCTGCACTACTGGGTTCTTGAACCAGCCTCCGACCCTCCTGCGTTGCGCCGTGGCCGACATCAGGGCCAAATTTGAGATAGAAGGCCACCAGATTGAAGCTGCCATTGAGGCTATTCTCGAAAATAAGCCAACGCTTCGCAAAAAGTACAAACGGCCGAACCAAGACAGCGATAGACTGTATCAAATATCAAAGTGAAGTTGTTCATCCTGTAGCTGATGACGAGGCCTGTGTCACGACTTGTGGTGATGGTCCGCCGACTCTGATAGCACGGCCTAAGAGAACCGACGAGGATGAAAACCCAACAATCCACTACGGTCTGATTGCTTCAGCAAACCAGCTAATGAAGGATGCTCTCTTTCGGGACCAACTTGCCAAAGAGAAGGATGTATTATGTTTCGAAATGGAAGCGGCTGGGTTGATGAACCAATTCCCTTGTCTAGTAATCCGCGGTATATGCGACTATTCAGATACCCATAAGAACAAGGAGTGGCAAGGTTATGCAGCAATGACGGCTGCCGCATACGCCAAGGACCTCCTTTGTTGCATCCCCCCGACTAAGGTCGAGGCCGAGAAAAAGATCAAGGACATTCTTTCTGATAGTAAGTTATTACTACTATTCGAGTATTCTTACACTGTTTCTTACACTATGTAGTCGGGACGAGTATCAGAAACATCGACTCAAAGTTGAGCAGAAAGGAAGATCTTGAAATACTCAAATGGCTTAGCTCAACTGATTACGACGCGGAGCAGAACGACCATTTCAGACAAAGACAGGAAAATACCGGCCAATGGTTTATCAACTCCTCAGAGTTTCGAAATTGGATCGAGGCCATTGGGCAAACATTGTTTTGTCCAGGGATTCCAGGAGCAGGAAAGACAATAATGGTGTCAGCAGTGATTGACCACCTGAAAACTCGCTTCTCGGAAGATGAGTCTGCTGGTATCAGCTTTATTTATTTTAATTTCAGGCGTCAAGGCCAGAAGGTGCAGGATCTCTTCAGCAGTTTGCTAATGCAACTTAGCCGAGGCCGGCCAGCTCTACCGGATTCCCTCCAAACACTCTACAGGAAACATCAGACAAAGTGCACGCGGCCTCGTATTGATGAAATACTGGAAACTTTTCAATCTATAATATCGACGTATGCAAAAGTATTTATCGTTGTCGACGCACTCGATGAATACCAGTCTTCTGATGGTTATCTGGATACTTTTTTAACCAACATATTCAAGATCCAGGATAAGACTCAGTTAAACATCTTGGCGACATCGAGACATGTTGCGGAAATTGCAGCGAGATTTCATGGGGGCAGTTTGCTAGAAATACGAGCTGTAAACCAAGATGTGCGAACGTATCTGGCTGGCCATATGGACAGATTGCCAAATTTCGTCCGGCGTGATGCCGATTTACAAAATCGAATAAGGTCCACAATAGCTCAGGCTGTCAACGGAATGTATGTCGCAATTTTGCCCCTGTTCATGTCTGAAAGCTCTAACAACGTGGGTTAGGTTTCTTCTTGCTTCGTTACATATAGATACCCTCACTAGAGAGCCTACAGTCGGTCATCTCGAACTGGCATTGCATGCTTTGCCCAAGGGACTGGATGAGACATATGAGCAGGCTTTGGTGCGCATTGAAAGGCAAGGTGGGGGACTTCAACAATTAGCAAAGGCGGTCTTGTCTTGGCTTGTGTTTGCACACAGACAGCTTTCCCCAGCTGAGCTCCAATGTGCCCTTGCGATCAAGCCTGGAAGTTCGAAGCTGGATAGAAAGTTTGTCCCTGATGTTGAAACAATAGGATCTATCTGCGCAGGTCTGGTTACGCTAGACACTGAAAGCAACGTCATCCGGTTGGTCCATATGACAGCGCAGGCGTTTTTCGAGCGCACCCACGACCGATGGTTACCGAATGCGGAAAACGATGTCACAAGAGCCTGCATCACCTACCTTTTTTTTGATGAATTTAAGAAGGGTCCCTGCCTATCGAATGATGAGTATGATGAGCGTCTGAAATCGAACCTACTCTACCCCTACGCAATAGAACATTGCATTTATTCCAGCCAAGATTCCACAGATTTCCATGAAGAAACAATTATGTTCCTACAATCCAAGGCAAGTTTAGAAGCTGCAATTCAAACTCATATGGTTGGGGACATTATCCCTTTTAGCTCTTTCAAGAGGGCGTATAGAAATTACAGCCAAAAATTTCCAAAGGGAGTGAGCATGCTTCATGTGGCAGCCCATTGTGGAATAAAGAAGGCAGTCGAAACCCTTATTTTAAGCGGGGCTGAGCCCTCTGCCAAGGATGACTCAAATCGAACTCCGCTCCTTTATGCCGCCACAAGAGGCTATGAGACTGTAGTAAAGCAGCTTCTCGATGCCGACCCGACTGGTGTTGATTTAATGAGTATCCACGGCCGAACACCGATTTCACATGCTGCTCAACTTGGCCGTGCTGGTGTAGTTAGGCTACTACTTGATACTGGCAAGGCCAAAGCTGACTTGGGAGATAAAATTGGTCGAACACCTCTTTCATATGCTGCAAAGGAAGGTAATGGGGATGTAGTCAAGCTATTACTCGAAACCGGTGATGTTAATCCCGACTCAGAAGATGAGAAAGGCCGATCACCACTATCATATGCGGCACGGTATGGCCATGGGGATATAGTCAAGCTATTACTTGAAACCGGTGATGTTGATCCCGACTCAAAAGATGAAAATGGACGGTCACCGCTATCATATGCGGCATGGTTTGGCCATGGGAAGTTTGGCCATGCGAATATAGTCAAGCTACTGCTCGAAACTGATGATGTTAATCCCGACTCAAAAGATAAGCATGGGCGGTCACCACTATCATACGCTGCCGAGGAAGGTAGCGAGGCTACAATTAAGCTGCTACTTGATGTGAGTTCAACTGACGTCAACTCAAGGAACATTGATGATATGAGAACACTTTCATATGCTGCCAAACACGGCCATGAAAGTATTGTTAGGACACTATTTGATCGATGGAATCGCGATGCTCGGGCAGCTACTGACTGGCCGGCGGAATGGTTCCACAGTCGCATCTTGCGTCCCAACATAGTAGACATACTGCTCGAAAATGGAAAGTTGGATATTGTCTCAGAGAATGGCCGATCTCCGCTCTTCTGGGCAGCCAGAGCCGGCGCCAAGACGATAGTTGAACGGCTTCTCAATTCAGGAAAGGTTAATATTAACTCGAAGGACATATTCTTTGGCCGCACACTGTTGTCATGGGCTATTGAGGGAGGAGAAGAAGAAATTATTAAATTGCTCCTCGATGTACCGAACATTGACGTCAACCTGCAGGGCAGTGACGGTGAATCGCCACTGATTACAGCTGTTTTCCTGGGGAGAGAGGCTATAACGAAGATTTTGCTTAACATAGAGAGCGTTGAAGTTGATTTGAAAGAATCGACAAGTTCCATGACGGCATTTGGATACGCGGCTATGACTGGGAATGAGGCCATTATGAGGCTGCTTCTCGATACGGGAATGGTCGACATTAACACGAAAGTATATTCAGGTCTCACCCCATTGCATTTTGCTGCCATTGGAGATCAAGAGGCTTCAGTGAGGTTGCTACTTGATACAGGAAAGGCCGATGTTGAGTCAAGGGATTGTGATGGTCTGACGCCACTCGCATTGGCTGCTCAGGAAGGGCGCGAGGGCCCAGTCAAGTTGCTCCTTGATAGAGGAAAGGCTTATGTTAACTCAAGAGGCGAGAATGACAAAACGCCAATCATAGCTGCTGCTGAACGGCGGCATGAGGGTGTGGTGAAGCTGCTGCTTGACACAGACGGGTTAGATATTGACGTGAAGGATTCTTCTGGGCTAACTGCGCTCGACTACGCCACAAAGAACTGGCATGAGCCCGTGAGGAAGTTACTACAAGCTCGACTGGGGAGCCAGGACTCATGTTGAGATGAAGATATCTACACATCTGAGAAGAATCTTAGGCGGCCGTACAGGGCCGTTGCCTGTCAAATTGTGTGCCGTAAGCACATGCTAGGTAAAACAGCGAGACTGTTAGGCGAGGATACATGCGAGGATGCCAAAAGAATTTGGCAATATCCTTACCGATTCTCTCTAACCATGCACGAGAGTCAGTGAGCACGGCTTTGGATAGCGACGACCAGGGTGAATTCGGTAGCTGCAGGCATCTCCACCCACACACAATATCTTGACCCGTGAGACAAGTCTTTGGTGGTCTTGATTGGGAGAGGTAGCACAGCCGCTACCGGCATGCAGCGGCCCGTTGGGTCCCCGTTGGGAGATAAGAGAGGGGAAGTGGGTGAGGATACGGCTTCGACAATCAATCAAAACTCCCCTTCCGCTCCGACGACGGCCTATCTTCCTTGGTGAACATCGAATAAAGCTCCTGTTGATGGGGTAGTCAACCCCGCATCTTCAAGTTGCCATGAATGTGGGACTAGATGTGGTTATAGACCGGCTCCTCTTGCCATTGGATAGGCCCTGCTCCTGATTATCTACGTACTTTATGTTCTCATCCTGTAGGATAGACCAAAGTCGAGTGTTTTCTTTTCCAACAGTGCTCTTCTATATATATTGTCTGACTTGGGCGGACCCAACTGAGTACCACAATGCCTAGCCTACTCGAACAGAATGAATCCATCTTTACTCCAAAGATCGCCGCTAAGCTGAAAGCCGCGAGCGACAAGGCGTCTAGGGACTTCCGCTCAGATGTAGTCACGGTTCCCACCGAGGGAATGATGGAGGTCAAGCTCGTCCGGTTTACACATATAGTGAAATGATGGAGAAGTTAACCACTTTTCTTGGCAGGCTATTCTGAATGCAACATTCAATGACGACATCTACGATCCTGAGGGCGATCCATCGGTGAAAGCTCTCGAGGCCAAGATCATGGAGCTTACAGGGAAGGAGGCGGCACTATGGACGATGTCAGGCACGCAGGGCAACCAGATATGCCTCAGGACGCATCTAACACAACCACCTCATTCGGTCCTCCTGGACCACCGGGCACACATACAATGCTGGGAGTCCGGGGCTCTACCTGTCTTCTCCCAAGCTACCGTTACGACTGTCCATCCGAAAAACGGCGTGTTTCTCACACTGGAGGACGTAAAGGCGAATATGATAGCCGATGGCAACAGTAAGCTTGAAAGGATCCTGCTGAGGAAATTTGAATTAACTCTCGGTACTAGTTCATTTCCCGCCCACGAGGGTAGTTGCCTTGGAGAATACTCTGAGCGGCACTATTCTGCCCCTGCAGGAGGCGAGGAAGATTTCCGACTTTGTACGATCCTTCCCTGTCCCGGAGGACTGCAAGCCTGTTGCCATGCATCTCGACGCGGCCCGGGTGTTTGACGGTGTGGCCGGAGAGGGTGTCCAGCTAAAAGAGTACGCTGCCTGCTTTGACAGCCTTTCTATCTGTTTGGCCAAAGGACTGGGCGCCCCCATGGGCAGCGTGATCGCGGGTACAAAACCATTCATCGAGCGGGCGAAGTGGTACCGCAAGATGTTCGGTGGAGGAACCAGACAGCCAGGAATGATGGCCGCTGCCGCTCTTGCTGCGCTGGAAAACGCCGCGCCAAAACTCTCAGGAGTTCACGCCATGACCAAGCGTGTGGCATTTGAGCTTGACAAGCTGGGGTATAAGTTTGCTTTGCCCGTGCAGACAAACATGATTGTCCTAGATCTGGAGGTTGTTGGCATTCCTGGCTCTGCGTTTGTGGAATATTGCGCCCAGAGTAACCTCGCTACATTTCCTAATGGTAGATTGGTATTCCATCATCAGGTAACGGAGGAAGTTAGCCAGACGTTGGTAAGCGCTCTGGGAAGGTTGATGAAGGATAAGAATGATGGGGTGAAGTTATCGGATGAAGAGTTGCAGTCAGGATGCTCCTAGTTGTTTCCATTATATCAGACCAGAACCACCCGCCCTCCAATATCCTAAGTATTTAGTGTAAGGAGGCCCAGAGCTTTTTGATGGATTTTCGTACCAGGCTACTTGTCTGTGAGCCCATCCAAGAAATTATCCGCTTGTCGCTTTGCACGTCTGGTTGCCATTTCTTTCCTCCGTTGTTCAATCTCAAGCCTGCGGGTTTCCTTTTGCGCATCTCGTTCCTTGCGTTGCTCCTCTGTTCGTTTCCGCTCCTCTTCTAGGTTCTTCATCTCCTGGGTCCGCGTTTCCTCATCCTTGCTGAATTTGAAGAACCCAGTACCCTTGGTTCGGATCTCCCAATCTGCGTCGTAGTGCTTCAGCTCAGGCGGTGTGGCACTGCGGTCTCGTTTCCGTGCTAGTTCCTCCATTTTATCAAAGTCGTCTGGGTTGAATGCCATCGACTGAACGGTATCGCCGACTATCAGCTTTTCAGGCGCAAGCGGGCGAGCGGACATCCTCTCCAGCTCCTCTGCACCAAGAAGTCCTCGCTTCACTCTCCGGTCGAGCTTTTCCTTCTCGGCCTTTGACACTTGGCGAACTCGTCCAAACTCGTCCTCATACTCCACCATCTCACCCCCCTCGTCCGACTCATCATCATCAGAGCTGCTGGTGGAGTACCCTTTCTTCTCTTCCTCATTCTCCGCCCACTTGCGGTCAAAATCAACGAGCGGGGCCGCCTCGTTCTCCTGGGGCACGTAGTCTCCCCTCTTCATCGCGGCGTACAGGCGAGCCTTCATCTCCATCTTCCGCCTCGCGCGCTCCCTCTCTACGGCCTCATCCTCAGTTCCAACGACGTCCTTGAGAACCAGCTTGCCATCGTCCTCTTTGTCGTCCTGCTTCTTGGGCTTGCCTGTGAACAGGTCCTTTTTGGCTTGCTTGCCCTGACGCGACCGCGCAGCTGTGGGCTCTGACGACTTGGCATTTGACATGAGAGACGTCAGCTGAGCGGTGAAGTCTAGTGACGTTGAGAGTTTGGTATCGCGCTTTTGCTTCTTTACAGGCCGTTGGCCGTAGAGATTGGGATCCTGTGGCATCTTGATGCTGTTCTCGCCTCCAGGAGGAGCGTGAATGACGCGACCGGGGGGGTTATCTGCCCAAGCTCAAGGATAGATTATGAGACAGTGTCGCTGCTTCTGGAGGTTGCAATATTAGGAAATGAAACATGAGAAAGTGAATTCTTTATGCTACAACTATCACCTTGGCGAGAATTCTCGAGGCGTGGTCGGCACATGATACTTGGAGTATGATTACGTCAGCCTTTTATTATTTGGAGATTGGGCTAAGAGCTGGTCTTCTTTTTCTCCTTCATCACCTACCTAGCTCGGTAGGTAGCTCACAAGCTCCAGTCGGGACCTTGGCCGAGCTTAAATTAGGAACATTGCCACTGGATAAGAATTTTAGAAGTGATCCTGGGCATGAGGCTGAATGAAAGCCGTTGGACGTGATGCAATGCCGGCCTAACCATAATCAAATACGTGCACCGAAGTGACTTGCAGATTTGGCCGCCAGTCGGGATAACATACTGGAAAAGGAGAGCAGGCAATACTTGTCTGATTAAGACAGACGACAATGTCGGAACCTGTCCCTTGAAATGTATTTTTGGCGATTGGCATTACCTTTCGGGCGACAAATCCGACGTGGGGTCGAGCACGCCAGTCTCAGCTCTTTTCTGCCCCGCCATCCCACCATCCGCCATCGGCCCCTCGATTTTGTCCCTCATCCCTACAACTACAGCTATTTGCTACGACGGCCAAAGTTGGGTCAATCGCATCATCACAATGTCAGCTGCAAAGCAAGTCTACATTGCCGTTATTGGTTGGTTCTTTACTATCAAGATGAAACACCCAGAGGATTGACCACAAACTGACCACTCTGATTGATCCCTTCTAGGCGCTGGTGGTGTTGGAAAATGCTTCCTGTCCCAGCTCCAGGCCCTAGCTGCCCGCAAGCCTTCCCCCAAGCTGAACCTTGCCTATATCGCAACCAGCCGAAAAGCCCTCTTCAACGATGATTACTCCGCGCTCGATATCGGCAGTGCCGTCGACTCCCTTGCCGGATCTTCCAAGAGCCCTCTGGCCCTCTCCCAGGTTGTCGACTACCTCGCCGCCGCACCAGCCAAGGCAGTCCTGGTCGACAACACCAGCTCCCAAGACGTCGCAGAGCTCTACCCCTTGGCCTTGAGCCGCGGCATCAGCATTGTGACTCCCAACAAGAAGGCTTTCTCAGGCTCCTACAAGCTTTGGCAAGATATTTTCTCCGCCGCCGCGTCTTCTGGTGCCAAGGTCTATCATGAGTCATCCGTTGGCGCTGGCCTCCCTGTTATTTCCACACTCAAGGACCTCGTTGAGACTGGTGACAAGGTTACCAAGGTCGAGGGTGTGTTCAGTGGAACCATGTCTTTCCTGTTCAACTCCTTCGCTCCCACCGAGGGTCAGGGCGGCAAGTGGTCTGCCGAAGTGAAGAACGCCAAGGCTCTTGGTTACACCGAGCCCGACCCCAGAGATGACCTGAATGGTCTTGATGTGGCTCGCAAGCTGACCATCCTCGCGCGCCTGGCTGGTCTGCCCGTGGAGTCGCCCACCTCATTCCCCGTCCAGAGCCTGATCCCCAAGGAGCTTGAATCCGTAGCAAGCGGCGACGAGTTCCTTGAGAAGCTCCCTGCATTCGACCAGCAGCTTGAGGACATCAAGGCCGAGGCCGAGAAGGAAGGAAAGGTTGTTCGTTTCGTCGGGAGCATTGACGTTGCGACCAAGAGTGTCAAGGTCGGTTTGGAGAAGTTTGACCGTTCCCACCCAATCGCCGCTCTCAAGGGCAGCGACAACATCATCAGCTTCTACACTGAGAGATACGGGAGCAACCCACTCATCATCCAGGGTGCTGGAGCTGGTGGTGAGGTGACTGCCATGGGTGTGACTGGCGATTTGATCAAGGTCGTGTCGCAGATTGCATAAACTAGTAAAAATTGATTCAAAAGTTGGACATGAACCCTGTTATATTTTCTCATTTGGTCTGCTGTGATTGGCTTTCTCGTCGCGTGATCTTCTTCTCGTCGGGCTGGGGGGTGGTGATGCAGCATGCGCCACATGGTTCGTATTCGGAGGTCGTGTTTGCTTTCGACATTGTCGCCAGATCCATATGAAGATATCGAGAATGATGAGGAAAATGAATGGGCCAGACAAGATGATGCCCATCCCGAGCTAAAGGGGCCAGAGTTAGCGCGCAGTCACATATAAATACGTCTGTCAAAGCTTCTGATGATGTTGGCTTACGCAAAAAAGGGAGACGAGGTGGATGATCATGGATGACGTGGGGGAAATGATCCCGCTCAGTATCCAGGACGATTCCGCGACTGCTTCAGACATGATAGATAGCTCTAGCGAAGGAGAAGAAAAATGTAGATCACGTCAAGGTTCACAAGGGGCCAACAAGGGCTTTTCAATCAGCTCGCATCCTTGCACGTGTCTGATGCACGATCGTGTGATGGGCTCGTGAAGATCACGGAATTGGGAGATAAACTCCTGTCTAGCTCATTTCCGCCGAGCCCGGTGTCGTAGATAAGGTGGAGTTCGGCAGAGCTGCCCTCACCGCCTTCCCTTTCGGGTCCCTGGTGCAAAACCCTGTAGCATCAAAGAGTTTCCATGTGACAAGCAGCGAAAAAAAGGTCAGACTACAGTTTGATATCCTCTCGCCCAAATCCGATTGCAGAGGGACGCCCTGCAAGTCGCAAAGATGCCCAAAGCCTCCGGATACAAGCAAGAGCAGCGCGAAGCCTACCGCCAAAACAAGGAGCGAAATGGCGGCGCACAACTCCCCCAGAAGCGGTTTTATCGACAGCGCGCACATGCAAATCCCTTCTCGGATCATTGTTTAGAATAGTAATATGCGCACAGCTCCTGGCTCATAAAACTTACTCGGCTAACTCCTGACCAGCCCGGCAGCTCCCGATCAAATGGACTGGGCCCCATACTTTCCAGCATTTGTTGACCAGTCTGAGTCCAATGACCCGTCTAAGCCAAAGCCCCTCACAAAAGATATCGAGGTTGTTGATATTGGCTGTGGGTTTGGCGGGCTCTTGGTCGCATTGGCCCCTCTCATGCCAGAGACGCTTATGCTCGGTGAGTCATTCCATTCGGAGAAGATGGCATCTTGTCTACGAACCCCGTGCCCTTCAAGTTTACTAAACGTCCATATTTAGGCCTTGAAATCCGATCAACTGTGTCTGATTTCGTCAAGGAGAAGATCTTGGCGCTCCGAGCTCAGAACCCTGGTGGTCCCTACCAGAACGCAGCCTGTCTACGGGCAAATACTATGAAGTTTCTCCCAAACTTCTTCAAGAGAGCTCAGTTAAGCAAGGTCTTTATCTGCTTCCCAGACCCGCACTTTAAGAACCGCAAACACAAGGCGAGAATTGTATCATCAACGTTGAATTCTGAATATGCCTATGCCGTAAGGCCTGGCGGTATAATCTATACCATTACTGATGTAGAGGCTCTTCACCATTGGATGGTTGAGCATCTGGATGCGCACCCTCTGTTTGAGAGAATCTCGGAGGAGGAACAGGAGCAAGATGAGTGCGTACAAGTCATGAGGACGGAAACCGAAGAGGGAAAGAAGGTTGCACGGAACAAAGGCGACAAATTTGTAGCGCTATTCCGGCGTCTGGAAGACCCTCCTTGGTAATGCAGTAATCTTGCATCGTTTGGGAGATAGAAGGGGTTAAAAGAGTTGAAAGTACAATAAAAATCCAGTCTTACATGGGGCATGGTACACGGCCTTTCCTGGGATGATGTCAATGGGCCGATAATTAACATGACGAATCCAAAAGCACAACACAGACCGTAGCAAAGCTCTTATTATGGTGTATGCAAACGCATCAATGAAATCAACATCTGAGCCTCGAGGAAGCACTGCCACAATGATCATGTCTTCCATGTCATTTATTTAGATCAGGCAACTGCTGCTGGGGTGCTGCTCCCGGGCTGCGACTGCCCCTCCATTGGCGGCACTGACACATGCTTGGAGCGCCTGTTTAATTAATACGACGCAGCCCACCAGCCCACCTAATCAGTAAGGTCATGAACCACGCGCGCATTGACCCACCACAATGACCACACGTCCCCCTACCAAAGCAACGTCCTAAGGGTCTCCTATTACCTGGCCTGTGACGCTAATCGTTACCTAGATCTACACCGTAGATGTGGTCTTGACGAGAGTGCAGCTTCATTGTTCAGGCAATAGGCGGCTCGCTCCCCGTGGAAACTCTCTTCGACCCCAACGACGATGCGCCCGAGAAGCTCATACTGGCTATGGCCCTAAAGCGACGAGATGCGGCGCTCGCGGCTCTGGCCGCCTTCATTGCGTGGGGGTATGCTGTTAGCTGGCTCCCGGCCTTGCGTTGGGTTTGGTATGCATTTGTCGCAGGTCTTGTCGTCTCCGCCCTCGCCTTTTTAGCCCTCATCGGCCTCACCTCTCGCCTCCCGCCAGAGGCCAAGCCTCGACCCGATGGCGTCAAGTTCATGGGATCGAGCGCCTGGCGCACCGAAGTTGATGGCCTGCGAGAACGGCAGCGGTATACAAAAGTCTCCCTGGACCTCGAAGCGCCCCTCGTGTCGAAAGCGGTCGACGGCCTCCTCGAGTTAATAATGCGAGACTTTGTATGTAGCTGGTATTCGAACATTAGTCCCAATCCAGTATTTCCGAACGAAGTAGATCGAGCCATCCGAATGGCATTGTTTGGCCTACGGGATTCGTTGCGAAATAAAGACTTCGCCGAATTGATAACTAGTCGCATTGTTCCAATACTCACAGCACATTTCCGAGACTTCTATGATGCAGAGAAAGCTGTTCGAGGGCGCAAGCTCAACCGATCCGTCACAGAATCAGAGGAGCTCGACCTTGCGATTGCATCCAAGTTTCGAGAAGGACGGCTGCACCCCGCTGCTTCGCTCTCTTTTCCCGACCTCAAAATGATCCAGCAGGACTATCTTCGAACTGTTGTTACAAATATTCTCCCCAAAGTCCTCCCACCCGAGATGCTCACGAGCCGAGCTGTGTCTGTTCTCATCCGGGAGATTGTAAGCTGTTCTGTGCTCTCGCCTGTTCTCCAGACGCTATCTGAGCCGGATACTTGGAACCAAATAATGGAAAACTTTGGTCGGTCGATGCTTCAAGACAGGTCCACCGTCAGAAAGCTGAGAGCTGCTCTGGACCAGCACGCCGTGCCAAGCCCAAAATCGGGCAAGACAGCTATGTCAACACCTAGAATCATGCCAGGGGATAGTGAGCGCAAGTTCGAAAAGTTCATCCGAAGCATCCGGAAAGTCAACAATCTCTCAGACGCTCGACGCTTCCGAAGCGAAGTGGCTAGCCAGCTAAAGAGGGACTCGCAGGAAGAGACATCGGATCAAGTGTACTTGCGTCGACTTGAAATGGGAAAGCGGCTGTTAGATCAAAAAGTCCACCACTTTTCTACTGGAGGGGGGGATCGGATGCCCGCCACTCCTGCAACTCCTTTTGTCCCTGCTTCGACATCTCGCCTTGAAGATGCATCTCTGGTAGAGCTTCTCCGAGACTCTTCAGCTATTTCCTACTTCATGGAGTACATGGATAGACAAGGGCTGATGTCCCTGGTTCAATTCTGGCTGGTCGTTGATGGTTTCCGGAATCCCCTGGAGGATGATGGTCAAGATGATGAACAATTGCCTTCCACACTCCCCATGTGGAAAGACTCCGATCGCCTGGATCTCCAGCAAATCAGCCAGGCTTATCTATCGAAATCGGAGCTGAAGGTGTCAGATGCTTCCAAAAAGGAGGTACGGGAGTTTCTCAAGGCAGGCAAAGCTGCGACACCTGCGCAATACTACAGAGCTCGGAGAGCAGTCCTCAAATCCCAAAGCACAGTTTTGGAAGAGATGAAGAATCGCTTTTTCCAAAGTTTTAAGAAGTCCGACTTATTCTACAAGTGTCTCGCCTCTCAAGAGGCATCCAACCATAAAACTTTGACAACTCCTGTTCACCCACCAAATCCTAGAGCTTCCCAGTCCTTCCACTCCAAACCGAAACCAATCTCTCGTCTAGCTCCACCGCCAAATCCGGGCGCGAGACGAACTGGGTCGGCGCAAGATCTCCGGGCTTTGCATGCGAGCGCATCTGGATCGGACCCTTCAAAGCTGACTCGAAGATCCCTTGACGAAAGCCCCCCTAGCACTCTACCTTTATTTGACGATGATGACTTGGAACATGACGAAATGATGGACTCGGTACAGAGCTTGGATCAAAATGGCCATGCTCAAAGTGCTCCTGACACGCAGGTGGTACAAGCTGTTGAGGCAGCTCTCACGAACATTATGGAGGACGATCGGCCACAAACGGCGGAAGATCTTCGAGCCTCCCTCTTCGGAGGATCGGAGGATCTCGGTTCTTCAAGTCTATTTTCGGGAAATGACAATGAGTCGCATCGTGGTTCAATCGATTCCGGAAGGCCATTAATATTCGCCAAAGAAGGCAAAGATGGCAAAGAACCTGAGAAGCCAAGTCTTTCTTCTCTCGGTCTGGTCAGCCCAGCCTCACGTATCGGGGTTTTTGTCGACGATGACTTGTTTGGTGATGAGGACAAATACCTCTCCCATGGAGACGACGAGGACGATGATAAGGATCGGGCTGACGACGAAGACGAGGTTCATGAGGCAGCTCCTGGCGACCTTGGATTAGCCGAGGCCATTGCCGCTCTCACGAATGATATCGACCGCTTGGCAGCACAGGAAGCGGTTGTGGATTCCCTCACACGAAAGGCAGAATTGACCAACAATACCGCAGAGCTACGCATTTTGAAAAAGTCAAAGGCAAGCTTGCAGAGAGAAATTAGAAGAAAAGAGTTGCAACGACAGCAATATGTTGTCCAAGAAAGCGACAACAGTCTCTTTGGCCGGTCGATTATCAAGATCAAGAATATCCAGGTCGGAAGGGAGGACGATGGGAGGGAATTCGCCCTTTATGTCGTTGAGGTGCAGCGGAATGCGGGTGAACAGATGCCGGCAGCTTCTTGGACCGTCACACGACGATATAGCGAATTTCACGAACTACACCAGAAATTGCGGTCCCGGTATCCGTCAGTAAGGAATCTTGACTTCCCACGGCGCCGTATGGTCATGAAGTTTCAGAGCGAATTTCTACGAAAGAGACGGCTTGCACTAGAGAAGTACTTGCACGAGCTTCTGCTGCTTCCCGAGGTGTGCCGCAGTCGGGATTTACGAGCCTTCCTCTCACAGAGCGTCATTGCACCTGGACAAGACATGCTAGACAGGGAAGACAAGAAGGATATGATGACAAGGCTATACGATTCAGTTACAGACGGCATGGAGGATATTCTTGGCAACATCCCGGTGCTAGACCAAATCTCGGTCGCCGGGCAAAACCTTATTGCCGCCGCAACCAGTCAGCTGAACGCTGCGCCGCTGAATGGGAACGAAGATAACTTCCCCGCGGCGGAGGCTGAAGCAGAACTGAATGCGTTTGAAAATAAAGAGCTCGAGCCGTTCATCAAGCCCATATGTGACATTTTCCTGGAGGTCTTTGAGTTGAATAAGGGCAACAATTGGCTACGAGGGAGAGCGGCTGTCGTGGTGCTCCAGCAACTACTAGGTGGAACCATTGAACGCAAGGTACGGGACATCGTTAAGATGTCAGTCCAAGAGGAGAATCTCTTGAAATATATCGGCACACTCCAGGGCAATTTGTGGCCAGGAGGAGAGCTCAATCGAAGCCGAAAGCCTAGAACCTCGGCTGAAAAGAAGAAGACGAGAACGGAAGCCAGCTTAATGTTGGCGACTCTTGTGCCTGATCTGGCCGGGAGTGTGGTTGGTAGAGCCAATGCTCAAGTTGCGAGCCGTCGCATTTTCGCCACCTTTAACAACCCCAGACTCAAGTGCGTTTACCCCACCTTCTACAACACGCCCCTTCAGACAATTTACTAACTGCATTGCCAGCGCGCATTTGATTTTCACATTGTTGGATGAAATTATCTCGATCCTTTTCGAGGAATTATAGATGGCCCATGGAGAATGGCCGAACCACGGAGTTTGGAGTCTATTATGAGATGCTGCGACGGCATAAGAAGCGACTGTAGATAACGGATAAGGATTGAATGATGCTTCTGCAAGTTCGGGAACCCCGGAATGTAATGACTATATACACACTACCAGTACGACCTAATAATAACACGGTTACGCCCATCAATTAGCAGCAGTATATCCAAGCGAGGAGCGGCCTCCGGGGGATGTGATTCGCCGCCAGAAAAGTATGGATGGCGCAGGGGGAAATCTTGTTCCCACGTCGCCAGGGAAGAGTCGGAAGCAGCTCAGAGGCAGCTGTGATTGGGCTGAAATGCAATACTACGACGCAGGAGGTACGTAACCCAGCGGGTGACACTGAAAATGGCACACCCAAACGAAGACCCAAATAGTCACATAGATAAACAACCAAATAAATATCTAAATATCTAAATAAGTAACTAATTCTAAATAGAGATTAAAGAATATCAATATTTAGGCCTAGATATCCTTTTCCTTTAATCTTGTTTTTGTAATTCTATAACTACCTAGCTATGAAAGATAATAGATCAAGCATGTGTCAAGGGAGCGCTTAGGTGTGCCATTTCCTATGTCACCTACATGGTAACACACCAAGTGCTGCACGTTGCTGCAGGCTGTGGTTGATGTGGAATGCGGAGGTGGAGGCGGAGGTGAGGGGAGGCGGAGAGTGTCGCGTTCGCCTGGCCCTCTCTACCGGTAGCTGTAGGTAAGACATATCCCCTCGTCGTCCCATCCCATGCGAGGTGATCTGATATTATGGCTCTCGTGTCCACGCACATATGTACAAAGGCATCACTGGGCGGCATGAGGTCCGGGGAACCTGGCAGCCAGCTTTGCCTGATTCGGGCAGGCGCTCCGCTGCGACAAGCGCCCAAGCCCCCCAGCAGCGCCCAGCCAGCTCCTCACAGGTGCGCTGAAGCACCGAGCGGGTTCCCATTGCAGCGGCGTGCATGAGTGCGGGCCCCAGTCATGTGACTATTGCGTACCTGCCAATTAGGTGTGCGACACTAGTCCCGGTTGGTGGGCGCCATCAGCACCCACCCGCCCCAAGAAAGAAAGATTGAGAAGCAGCTCAAACCGAGTCTCCTCTCCCACAACGCCACTCCACCATCAGCAGATTGCTACATAGTATATCATCCCAGCCTGACGACGAGCGCTCGTCCCCCGTGTTGTGCCCTCCCTCTGTGCCCGGCTCCCAGGATTCCCCGAGACAGTTTACTAGGTTTTTTTTCTGGTTTGGATCTCTTACAACTCAACTTTCCTGGCTGGCACTACCATACCCAACGGCAACATGACCGAGGTCTCGGCTACCCGCCTCTACTTGGGCAACCTCCCTCGCACAGGTCCATCCACCTTACCGTTGCGTCGCAATCGCTTCCCCCAACTGACGCGATGAGGAACAGCTACCAAGGCCGATATCGAGGCCCACTTTGCGACCCATGGCACCGGTGAGATCACGGAGGTGAAGCTGATGAACGGCTTTGGCTTCATCGAGTACAAGGATCCCATGGATGCCCGCGATGTCGTTCCCGGTTCGTCAGAACTCTCTAGCCCCCCGATTTTGTGTGCGCAAATGGACTAACTCGTCGCTCGTTTCTGGCAGCCTTCCGTATGTGATACCCGAACCGCTCGCCGCTTCCTCTTCTGCCCAGGCTAACCAGCGACACACCCAGATGGATCCGACTTCATGGGAGAACGACTTACAGTGCAGTTTGCCCGTGGGAGCCGACAGCGGGAAGGGGGCTATGGCCCTCACGAGCGCGCCCCTCCGCGTCCGCGACGAACTCCCCATCGCATGCAAATCACAAATCTCCCTCAGGACACCAGCTGGCAGGTCTGTTTCCCTCCTCTTCTTCCCCTTCGCCGGATACCATGGATTCCACTCCTCCCCTACTTTCCGAGCGGGTCTTTGGGCTTTCTGAGAGACAGAATTACGGGTTCCATCGTTGGATGATGTTCTTGCGCGCCCGACGAGGCCATGGTTTGGCGTTTCCCCAGTTTGCGCGTTTGGGCAGGACGGACGACGATGGAGTCACTTTAACCACCTGTGTTCGGCTTGATTCGGTTCCTACTCTCTGGTATCTCCTGATTTGACAGGGGATCTTGTGGATAACGTGGACTTCCTTTGGCTCCTTCTTTGTAACCTCTCCCTGGACATGGACTTACTTGGATACTGGACACAGGATCTCAAAGATTTTGCTCGCCAGTCGAGCCTTGACGTGGTGTATTCCGAAACAGGACGCGATTCTAATGGACGAGGGTAAGGCTATTGATTGGAAACATGAAATGATGTTTCCGACGGAATCTGAGCTGACTGACGTCAACATAGATTTGTCGAGTTTGAATCTGCCGCGGACCTAAGGACCGCCGTGGAAAAATTGGATGGCCGTGAATTCAAAGGCAGCCGTGTCCAGTGCGTTGCTGATGTAAGTTTCAGTCCGGCCTGATTCTCGTTCGGTCATTGATGCTAACTCGGTACCCATCAGACTCAGCCGGACATTCCTGCATCTCGTGGTAGGTCCCGATCTCCCGGGCCTGGACGTCGCCCGTACCCTCCTCCAACGGATGACTATGACCGGCGCCAGCCTCCCCGAGGCTACAGTCCTCGCCGCGATGCGCCTTATGGATACCGTGATCGCAGCCCTCGACGTGATTACTACGACGACCGTGGACCACGCGGCTACCGTTCCCCTCCACGACGACCAGAAGGGGGGGACTACCCCCCTCGTGGACGATACGATGATCCCTACAGGAGGGATTATGCGCCGCCCCCGGACCCCTATACCAACGGTCGGCCCTATGAGCGGGCCCCAAGAGACTATCCTCCACCAAGGGATGCTCCATATCCTCGTGAAGGTTATCCGCCTCGCGAGTATGAGCGTGGAGGGCGCTACTGGTAAATTCATTTCCTCATCTTTACCCATGTTCATCCTCATCACGTCCACCACATTCCTATTCCATATTCGTGTGCCACATGAGTGAACCCGTCCTTGACCGGGGGTTTAATAGATTGGTACCATCCTCGGACACGTTGCAACTGAAACCGACAATGTCACCGACGGTAAACTGCAATCAAGCTGCAGGGATGGCTTCAGCTCGATACGACGCTTGCAAAACATGTGTATGGTATGGACACCAGGAGTGTTGTACTTTGCTTATCAGGACGAATTTGATGTTATTATGGGGATGGGGACGTATTACTAGTTCCTTCCGACTCTTCGCTAACGATTTGGAACGCTGCTACGGTATGGGACGGTACGGTATGATACGGGAGGCTGTGACAATAGCAAAATGGTTTATTATGTGGGGTGGAACGTTGCGAAACGATCGTTATTGTCATGACTACTCGGTCTCGCGCGGGTGATCTTGGGCTGGTCTATCTGTGTCTATACTTTGTTTGACTTTTTCTTTCTCTTTTCTTTATTCCCTTCACTGGTAGTTGACTGTTCTTTTCAAATTCAAATTTCAATTCATATGTCAAAAAAATGCTCATTTCTAACGTAAAAGGAAATAAATATAAAGCGAGGGCAAACGGAAACCTAAAAAGTACACAGGTGGGCTTCTTTTCTACATCCAAAAGAGGACAAAATAAGAGACTTGGGAGAGCAGTAACGAGGTGAGCGATAATGAACACATATATAGCGATTGAAATATCAAAGGGAATCATAACAGCTCATGGAACGCAAGTGACGTAGGTAGTAGATTTCGTTCGCATCAAGTTTTTCCAGCGCAGGACTTGCGCCGCGTCTTCCCTTTTCTTTTAATGTTTGATGGGTCCTGTCCCTGCGCTGGCCACGCAGATTTCGAATCCAGGCAGATGAGATTTTTGTTTAAGCAGTCTTCTTCCACTGCGTGTAGATGCCGATCAAACTGCTCAGGGTACCGGCGAGACCGACGACGCCGTCGTCCAGGTTGACCCAGCCGAGGCCGGTGGTTGGGATTGTCAGGTCGGCCAGGTCGGAGACGAGTTGCAGCCTGCTGGCGGCGCGCTCCCTGTGTACATTGTTAGCGATATAATCAAATCAATAAGCCAGGAGATGGGATTGGGATCGTGGGATTGGGGTTGGGATGAAAGCTAGGTACACATACAGTGCGATGCGCTTGCTCTCGACGACGCCCTCGCCGTCCTTCTTGTCGACCTTGGCCTCACGCTGGTTCAGCCTGTACTGGGTGTACAGCTGGCCCGCGATGCTGAAGAGGATGCCGAACGCCCAGCACCTGTAGGCGTTGGTTTGCGCGCGCTTGGCGCCCTCCCACTTCCTGATGGCGGCGGCGTCCAGGACCGTGGCGGCGTCGAAGCTGAGGTACCCCGCGTATCCCAGCTGGCGGCCCACGGAGGTGTAGCGCAGGAAGGGGTCGGCGACCTTGGCGTCGGCGGCGGTGGCGGCGGCCTTGAGGTGCTCGACGTTCTTGCCGATGCGGAAGAACTTGCGCATGAGGCCGAGCTGCTTCTTGGTCTGGGTCCAGGGGGCGACGGCGGAGGCGACGGCGTTGGTGCGGAGGAGGTACCAGGCGTAGAAGCGGGCGAAGTACTGGACGGTGCGGAGGAGCTTGTCGCGGCCGACGGTGGTTGCGACGAACTTGAGGTAATGGGCCACCGAGGGGTGGTAGATGACGGCGTCGGCGACCATTGTGACGGGGGTTGAAAGGCGAGACGGGAGGGTTTGGAGGGAGAGTGAGGATATGAAGGAGAGGCTGATTCTGGTCGGTGGGAGGCACCCAAGGGTATAAAAAACGGAGAATAAAAGTATGAGGGAGCGTGAGATCTGGGGAAGGAAAAAGGAGATGATGTCGTCGTGCGCTTGTGGCGTGTGGTGTTATACGTACGACACCGAGAGAGATGAGACAGGGAATATGGACCAGGGACGGCGATGGAAGGTGAAGTGGGAGCCGAGGTCCCTTTTCCCCACACTTCGCAACGAAGCCGGGGAAGGAATGCGTATGGCGAGCGCTGTGCTGGCCAATGGCGCACGCTGGGCCGAGTCTGGCGCACGCAGCAGCTAACGCAGATGGAGCAAAGACAACCGATGGATGGGCTCGTTGTCGGACCACACACCTGGCTGGCAATTTTCCTGCCGTCTCGATGAGGAAATAAAAACGCCAAGTGGTTCCAGTGCTTGTGCGTTGCTCGCTTGCTTTTGCTTGCATGCCCCTGGCACAGCACCCAACGTTCTCTACTATATTATATGCCGCTCACCTGATAGGCTGAGCTGGCCTGGTCATGAATTGATAAGTATTCCGAATTCCGGAATTTCCGCCGGAGACTCAGTCGCTAGGCTTAGGTATTTCAAGACCTACAGAACCCCGGAACACCTGGCAGCGTCTATCTATCGTACAAAATGCAGTGCAGTGCCCGATTCTAGGCTTTCGTGTGTGTGGAATTGGGCGCAGGTAGGTGTGAGGTCCATTTTCACATTCTTTCATTCCGTCATGGCCTTCCACCAGCCGTCGGTCGCTCCTTCCCCAGAGTTGCACGTGAGAGTGGGCACCTCTGGGGACCGAGTCAAGAGATAGAATTAATTTAAAGGGGAGATGAGGCCCAGCTGCTTCACAAGCCACAGACGGTGTGACCAGCCACAGCGTCGGGAGAGAGGAAAGTCTCGACGAGGCTTGTAGCAGGCTAACCCCCACGGACTGGCAGAAGGGGCATGAAGAGTCCCGTCGGGAAATCTCACAATGCATCTCGCTATTCTCGCTATGTAATAGCCGAGGAGTGTGGATCCGGCCGGATTCCCATGATCAACGCCGTCCGTTTATCGCCTGCCGGTCGCAGCCGTTAACCCGGGAAATCTTCTTGGAGCTTGCGCAGATTGGCGCAGATAGGGCACACGATGGCAGAGGATAAAGCGTCGGAGCAATCTGCTGGTTGGTCCAGGGCGCTGCACTAGGTCCCGGCCGTCTGTTGTGCGCTGCACAGCGAGAATCGTCATGGGCCATAGCCGATGGAGCTCGGTCGAGGCCCCGAGGATTGCGGGCGGACTGGAGGAACGTCATGATATAGAAAAGAGGCATTCCCGGCGCTGTTTCACATATTCGTTCTTGTTCTTTTTCCCTCCTTCTCCCGCCTGCTCCTACTCGCTCGCCCTGCACTCGTGATACCTGAATACCCTCCGTCCAGGACAGCAAAGAGGCAAGGCCGCAGATAGAGAAAGAGCTTGACTGTCAGGTGACCGTCTCCGTGTTGAATAGCTCCAATACCTGTTACTAAGGCCCCCAAGCTGAGGTTAGTGTCCCCGCGTGCCCCTCCCCCTCCCCCTCAGACGTAATACCAATCCAATCAATCAATGCATGGCCGGCTTTCGACCGAAGCCAGCCGAAGCACGGGAAGAAATGCGTTCTCGTTGTCTTCGCGATCGGCTTACTACCTTTCTCCAAATTCAATTTCCTCCCTAGAGTGCTCGAGTTGACCGATCTTGACGTAGACCGTTCATATACACACCCATCCTTCACCATGGAACCCAACGGCAACGGCGATGACTCCTTGAAAGTCAACACCAACATCATCACGCTTACTCGTTTCCTTACTGAGGAGCAAGCAAAGCACAAGGAGGCTACCGGAGATTTCACGTACGTATCGCTCCCCTCCCGTCCTGCCCGATGGCCCGGCCAGACGGAGCTGACAGATTGAGGCATGCAGCCTACTCTTCCACGCCCTCCAGTTCTCTTTCAAGAGCATTGCCTACTACATCCGCCGTGCCACGCTGGTCAACCTCACTGGTCTGGCTGGTTCCTCAAATACCACCGGCGACGAACAAAAGAAGCTCGACGTCATCTCCAATGACCTCTTCATTGAGGCCATGCGCTCCTCGGGCAAGTGCGCCCTGCTCGTCTCTGAGGAGGAGGAGGAGATCATCTTCTTCAACGACTCCACCGGAGCTCGCTACGCCGTCTCCTGCGACCCCATTGACGGTTCTTCCAACCTCGATGCTGGTGTCTCAGTAGGCACCATCTTCGCCATCCACAAGCTCCCCGACGGTTCCAATGGCACCAAGGAGGATATCCTCAAGCCCGGTACCGAACTGCTCGCCGCCGGTTTCACCATGTACGGTGCCTCGTCCCAGCTCGTCATCACCATGAAGGGCGGCACCGTCAACGGCTTCACCCTCGACACTGGCGTCGGCGAGTTCATTCTCACCCACCCCGACATGCGCCTCCCCAAGGCCCGCGCCATCTACTCCGTCAACGAGGGTAACTCGCTGTACTGGGACGAGCGCACCATCAACTACTTCAACTCCCTCAAGCAGTCCCAGGCCAACGGCAAGCCCTACAGCTCCCGTTACATCGGTTCCATGGTGGCTGACGCCTACCGAACTCTGCTCTACGGAGGTATCTTCGCCTACCCCGCCGACAAGAAGAGCCCCAAGGGCAAGCTCCGAATCCTGTATGAATGTGCCCCCATGGCACTGGTCTTCGAAAATGGTAAGTTACCCCGGCAGCTACCCTGCCAGCGTTTCCCAAAATCAATCGCTAACTCTTTTTTTCTACATAGCTGGTGGCCAGGCCGTGGATAACAATATGAAGAGAATGCTGGAGATTGCCCCAGAGCACATCCATGACCGTTCTGGTATCTTCCTTGGTAGCTGGGACGAGATTGAGAAGGTCAAGACATTCTTCAAATAAGCATGTATATATATGTCTATTCAAAGCGAACATAGGGAACAAGGGAAAACAAATCAAATAGTAAAATGAGTTCATCCGCTTGAGTAATCGGATTTGTCTTCACGGTGATTCGCTTATAGATTCATCGCAACCCTCCGCGCGCCTGTCTTAAGAAATTCGCTTATCGAGGCTCTACACACAATACCTAAACTACCAAAGAGTTAATAGCAAATAGAAGAAAGAGTCATGAATCACAGTCAGTTCTGCCTGAAGCTCATTATTCACTCCTGGTTCAGACAATAACCCCTCTCAGTGCACGGCACAATACACATGTTTGTGGAAGGAGCTGCCAAGCGCTATTGTTTCTATCCGAAAAACTCACCTGGTGGTCATTGTTATTCAATTCCCTAGCTCTCTCTCCATGCATGATTCAATCACAATGCCAGTGATTCACCAATACCATCCAATCGAGAAGGAGCCGCCATGGACTATAAATTGGCCACTTCTCTTCCATCCTCTCGTTGTTGCCTTCATCAACTGCATCTCTGGCTCCTCTTCGCAAGCGATAAAAGACCTTTTGAGTAGCGTTTAAATCAGCATACTTAGAGCCGCCAACATAATGGATTGCGACCATCTCCAGGACTTCGTCGTCCCTGAAAGTGTAAGTGACGACCTGCCTCCACGCATACATGTCATCCTTGTGTTCCAGAGCTGACAATAGACGCTGAAATTATAGATCCGATTCAAGGATTGGGCCGATCACTCATCGACGCTCCTCCTCTTCCCGGTCGAGATCCTCCTCGGGGTGTTCCCGCATCTCGACCGGACTGATGCCGTTTGCCTGGCTCTCTCCTGCAGACGGCTTCTCCAAGTATCCTCCCTCGCCCACCTCAAGGTCCCTTCAGCAAGCCATCATCGCGCCAACAAGATCCCCGGGTGTGGCGAAGCCATGAAGCTCCTCAACCGGGTCGAGGCACCCGGGACGGACTGGCGGCTCTGCATGGACTGCTTGCGCTGGCGGTTCAAGGACAGCAGCGACGAGGATGAATTCCCGATCAACGAGGGCTGCGCCCAGGCTTGGAGGGTCTTCGGTTCAGACTGCCCCGATTGCGCTGCTACGATGGAGGATACACCGATGTCAAACGCCGAGTAGGGGTGATGCGATGTTGCCCGCCAGTTGCCAAGCGAGTATTTACGACGTCAAACGCCGAAGCTCCCTTGTGTCTACAGCGGGTTCTAAGTCAGACGCTTGTTTCAAGATCGGAGAACATGTTTGGGAAGATGGTGCTTTATGGGATAGGTGCGAGCAGGACTCGGTCTCAGTCTTGATCAAGACCTCCGGTCGAGACTCTCGGAGATTTCGTCATCGCCAAGCTGGAAAAAGGTTCCGACGAAGTCTTATGTGCGCGAATAGCGACAGGAAATGGCAGTGATTTGTTTATTTGATTGCCGCGAGGAGGATTGCCGCGGTGAAACAGCGACTCGCCGGCGGGAACTTGTGAACACAGTTTGGCTGTTCCATATGAATTCTCATTACATGACAGACAATTGACTGATGACTTGTCTCTTGCACACGAACCAAGGTCTCACAAATGCTGAAGATGATGATGAAGCAAAACCAGACATCGACAAGAAAGCACAAGATATGCGAGACCCAGATATCCTTGGCTGGATCTACAGCACTCCTTATTGCTGAAGAGGAGCTGCGTGGCCGCACACCTCCAGCGTGTTGATCAGCTACATTCCGGATCACACACCGGGAGTAAGTCCATACAAGCAGACCAGGATCGTTGGGTGGCGATAACGGCACGGCAATCCCAATTTCGGTTCCTGCATGAAAGCCCGCCATCCCTTTCCACAAACCGACGGCGATCTCGTGTTTCCTGGTTGATAAGTTTTTTCTACTCTGACAATGTCATCCTTTCTCCCATTCCCGAATAGGCACCGCCCCTGCTCGTCTCGTCCCATCCAGGCCATCGCCCAAGCTCCTTTTGGGCATCCTGCTTTGCTAAGGGCCAGGGGGGAGCTGATAACGGAGCAGCCTTCACGAGGATGGGGGTCTCCACACCCTCTCCTCGGTCCCTCGTCCCCACCGGCCGATCGATTTCGCGTTGCTTTTTCCCTTTCTTGCGTCTTTGATGCAGGAATCCAGGTACTAGCGCCAGGGACGGATCCAGGTGGCGAAACAAAGAAAGTTTGGTAGAAGGGAAATGTGCCTGGCGATCGGGATCTTCCAAAGAAGCCATTCTGAACGGCCGCAAGGGAACACGAGTTTCCCTTGATGATAAGCAGAGGACGCTCGTGCCCGAGGACGAGGAATCCTGCTAGCTGGAAGTAGACGGCCAAGGCTTTGCTAGAAACGGTCCTCGTGGTAAGACTGACCGACGGCTTGGCGTGGCTTGGCCTTCCCCAGTGTGGGAAATGAGCATTTCGTATCCCCCATTCCACCGTGCCGGGAGGAGGATGGAGAACAGTCTGTCATGGGGGGGAAAGGCCGCAGTTTCGAAGTGAACACAGATAAAACTAGTGGTCGCGTCATAGAAGAATAGATACGAGAATGTTCAGTTATTTGGGTAAAGGAGTGTAACCCGTGTATTTATTCATTTCCCTCTATAGTTTGTTTCCTCCACAATATCGTTCTACCTAAAAATTGAGCCAAAGATTCGCTATGAGGCTTCGAAAATGATCATCTAGAACCAGAGCAAGTTATGTCAGAGGCAGTTTATGCCCTTCTCACCGCTCGCAGGCGGGGGATCTAATTGCGTTAAAAAAGAGATGACAAAACGTCCAATCTCGCAAGTGTAAAAATCAAAATAAACATGAGCCATATACAACCAGGTCATTACGGCGCCCCGAGAACCCATAAAAACAAGAATGTGACAATTGCCCTCTTTCTCTCCAATGCTCGTATCCTCATGGTCTGTCAGGAGAACGCAGAGAATACCGCATTCGAGAGAGACCGTTCCTCATCCAAAGTCAATGACGTTCCCATTCTTCTTGTCTGCTCGATTATCAAGAGTGAGATAAAGGAGCCAAAAAAAATGAAAACAGTAATCGTCTTTCGATTTGTGCATGTAATTAAAAGTCATATCTTCCCATAAGCTTCCATATGCCGGCAAGCTTGGAATCCAAATAAAAATATAGCCAGAATTGAATTGAATTGACAAGTATGTAATTGTTTCTTCCTGGGGTCCGGACTGCTTACAGCAGCTGGAAGGCGATACCAACGGCAGCGGCGATGGTGAGGCCGGCGAAAGAGACGACACCCTGGGCGGCAGCATTGGGGGTGGTGGAGGGGGCCGAGGAAGAGCCAGAGGTCTGGCTGGCCTGGGATCCGGTGGTAGAGCTGGAGCCGGAGCCTTGAGAGCCAGAGGCGCTAGGGGTAGCAGCTGTAGTTCCTTGGTTAGCGGAGCCAGTAGTGGTGATGGTTTTGATGGTAGTGGAGCCAGAGTCAACGATGGTGGAGGTCAGGGTAGAGGTCACGGGCGAGGATGTTGTGTCAGAGGTCTTGGTGGTTTTCTCACTGGTTCCAGAGGAGGCACCGGATGATGATGCCGATGAAGATCCTGATGAAGATCCCGAGGTCTTGCTAGAATCCGATGAAAGGGTAGAAGTGGAGAACTCGATGCTGGTCCTGGTCTGGATCTCCTGGGTCTTGGTGATGGTAGCGGAGGTCTTCAGCTTGTCGTCGTCGGCGCCGTCACCCTTGACGATCTTGATGCTCTCCCAAGAGCCGGTCTTGTCGCCATAGACGTACTCCTTGATGCTGTCCTTGGTGGGGGCATCGCCGCCAGCATAGTCGATGATGGAGATGCTCTTGTAGTAGGCGTCGAAGGGGCCCTTGCTAAAGTCAGTGCGGCCACCAGCCCACTCAACGGTACCCTCAGGAGAGTCCTTGCCACCAGCAACCCAAGTACCGATCTTGACCTCGAAGGGGGTCTGGGGGAAACGAGATCCACCCTTGGCCTGTTCAGGGAGCAGTCGGCGGACCTCAGTGCCGTCAATGGACCAAGCGATGAACTTGGAAGTAGCTTCGATGGTGTAGGTGTGGAAGGTCTTGCTGGGGGTGGCAACATTATGAAGAGCAACGCGGTCGTAGGTAGTGGTGTCGCCCTTGCCGAAGTAGTTGGACTGGACATGGTAGTCGTCGGCACCGAGCCACTCCCAGTCGACCTCGTCGAGGTCAGCAGACTCGAGAACGACCGAGGTCACGATGCCAATACCAGGAGCGGACTTGAGCTCAACATCGACACGACCGAAGAAGATACGCTTCTGAGTAGCCAATGTTGGGCCCTCGCCCTCCTTGCTGATGCGGAAACGGGCGCCGTCACCGTATGAGACCGAAGTACCTGGCAGAGAGGTGAAGATCTTGCACTCGGACTTGAAGTCGCAGATACCGGAGTCCTTGCCAAAGGCAGCCTCAGCAGGGCAGGCTAGATTTCAGATATTAGCAAACACTACCACACCAATTGGGGGTTGACAGGTTAGAGGATAGCCGGATTGCTCGCCAACATGAACAATGGACTCAGGCTAGCAGGTGAACATACTCTTGTCCAACGGGTTGCAGTCAGTGAAGGTCTGGGCAGACACCAGGTTGGCAGCAGCGACGGCTACAACAGCCTTAACGAAAGTACTGGTGAACATGGTGACTGATGTGCGGTTCGAGGTCTTGATTACCAAGTTCGAAATGTGCTGGAGGAGGATGAGGTGGGAGTAAGATAGAAACAACCGCGGGGAGGACTAGGAAGAGGTGCTTAATATATCAGGTCTTCAGATAGACGGGTGGACCAGCAGGGGCAGGGCAGACAAGGCAAGCAGAAGCTACCAGGGACCATGGAGACCGCGGGCTACAGATCTAACGAGGAGCCAGGGTCATTCAGAGGTACCTCAGGTAAAACTGGACAACAACAACAAAGAAGGAAAAGAAAACGGAGCCAGAGACACGAGGAGCCACCCTCGTAGCGTAGCTAGCGGATGGCCCTGGCCAGGAGAGGAGTGAGCGGCGGACAGTGAAGAACGATAGTGGCCCGCGTGGCGCTCGATGGTTAACAGCTGAGGCCCACAGGGGGGTGTGGGTGTGTAGTAAGCGGAGGTGTGCGGTGGAGGCCTGCACAGCCGTCATCCCAATTGTTTGATTGTGCTCTGCATAGGGTCCCAGACCACTGTGCAGGAACCCAGGGCCGTCACGCAGTTCCTGGGCGACTGTGCTCGCATGCACGACTGGGCGGCGGTGCTGGCCTGATTGGCGACCTCTGGGGACCCAGCTTCCCCCGCTGCCGTAATCGTAGGTACCTTCCACATTGTTCTCGCTACTACGTCGCAGTCGCAGAAGGAACCCTCAGCACCTGGTACCTGCCTTCCTCCAGTTCTTGATGGCCGCACCGATTTTGTCTTTCGCAGGGTCCTAGATCGTCTGCCGCCGAGACAGGCACTGCCTCCTCCGCCGTTCTTTTTTGAGTCACATTATTCTCCAAAGCGGTATGTCTTCTCTCGTCGCCAAAGGCCTCCGCTCCAGCCGGTGGTTGTGAGAAACCTTTAGACGAGCGCTCAGAAAGACCTCCGCCCGTGAAAGTTTCCAGCGCGAGCTCCGTGGCCTCGTGCACTTCCTATCGCCTCCAGCAGTCCCAGTTTGCCAATTGATCTGCTTTCGTATCCAAGCATTGCGATGACCGTATCGCGCAAGCAACGAGTCCCTGCTCTCCACTTAGTTTGGTCGGATGATGTCGCCGCCTTTACGGCACCGTGCCCAATGGTCGCTGACCGAGCCAGGGGCAAAGCCTTCCGCTTCAGAGCGAAGGGGGAAACCGGCAATGCCCTGGTCCATCTAGCGCATATGCCCAACCAGAGGCCCCTCCAACGGCAAACGCTCAGACTCTAAAAGACGAAAAGACGGGAATGATGGCTCGCGATACGGATGTCAGCGTTGACCGCACCTCGATCACAAGGATCAAAGGCTCAAACAGCCCCAGGTTTGAATTCCAAGTTCCTCGGTGGGAAATAGGATCTTCAAGCATGCAATGTTCTCCGTACAAGCACCAAAAGGGTCCAACTTGCGCACAGTATGCGACCACATCCGTGCAACCACGGTGCATGTAGACCTGGGGTATGAGATGGACGTCGTCGATCACCGAAGACCCTCTTGGGCGTGTGCAT